TCGTTTATGAGCTAAAAAGTTAAGTATTGCCATAATGATTGAAACTGCACTTTGTAATTTATCTGTGGCATAGAAATATAATTGAGCCTCTGAATCCATTAAGAACTCTCATTTAACTGATTGCACTATTCTTATGCATGTTTACTTTGATGTAAGCCCTGTAGAATTCAGTGGGGTAATCTTTAAGTGTATGTAGTATATTTATTTAAATATAGATTTAACTTGGTTAGATATAATTAATTCTGTCATTGTCAAAGTTAAGCAAGTTTAGGACTTTTTTTGTTGCAACATCTTTTTGTCTTATAAAGATGCTGTCTTTGTTTTCTCAAATAATAAATTGGATGTCCAGAACTTTCTTTGAAATACACCCATTGCTAACGCTGCATCTCAGTTATTCTCTTTTAAACTGTCTTTCTGTTTATAATAAGGCATTCTTTTTTAAAAATGAAATCATTAAAAGGTTTATTTATTTATTTGGAGGTTTTATCCGCAATTCTTCAGCCACAAGATTCCTAAAGTGATTTGTTCGGTTTGACATTTTCCTGTCTATAGGCTGACAATCTAATCAAGACATGACACTAAAGAAAAAGAAGATAAAAGGGTGGAATTTAAGTTCTACTATTGTCCTTCCTCCTCAGAGATCCCAGCAATGGCAGTTAATCTATTTAATATCATTTTTGTAATAGCTTTGCAGCCAGAGTTTACAAAGATAAATACTACTATTTTCCCCCTTTAATAGTAGTTTGTTTGAGTATTCATCCTCATATCTCATTTGCTTTCTACCCATTCCTAACTCTACATATCGTTACATATTTTTTATTTGGTATGCGTTGCTTGCTTACCTTTTCAAGTTTTGAAAGTGAGGGGGGAGGGGAAAGAATGAGGAAGATAAGAGATGAAGATTGGGATAGGAAAAGAGACAGCAAGAGGTGGTTGGTGTGGTGTGCTATTTGCTATTGATATAGGTCTTTCAATCTAGAAATAGTTCTAAAACTGCATTTGAAGGTGTGATCTCACAGCTTTAAATAATACTTCGCGGCTGATTTTATTTCATTCTTCCTGAAACAAAACTACTTCTTTGGACTGCTTCATCAGTGCTCCCACATCCAACGTCATACAACTTTCAGTTTTAATTAATTACCCATATTTACTCGAATCTAATGGTCACTTTTTTATCTAAATTAAATTGCCAAAATGGAGGTGTGCATTAGATTCAACAGGGTGTTAGAATTACGTATGTATGCCCACCTGCATGAAAAGACTTAGAGGAATCTAGAACCCCGGGGGCTGGACATGGAAGCGGGGAGAGGGGAGGATGTTACCAGTGGTGTCTGGAGAAGAATGTGGAGCACCTAGCTGGTGGCCCAGTTGTTCCTGTTCCTTAGCCGTGGATCCTGCCTCCCAGGCAGCCATCAGGGTCCCTTGCAACCCCTCCCTCGTCCCACTCTGTCCTATGCTGTTTCCAAGGCCTTCCACATCCCCTTCAATGAGACCTTACATCCAGAGAGCACTGGACCAAACTTGGCAAGAATCCTCAATATGCCCAAATGTGAACACTGGTAGACCTTGGGGAAAATAGACCTTGACATTTGGGAGTTGTAGTTTCTGGGATTTATAGTTCACCTACATTAAAATAGCATTGTGAACCCCACCAACGATGGAATTGAACCAAACTTGGCATACAGAATTCTCATGACCAATAGAAAATACTGTGTTTTCTGATGTTCTTTGGCAACCCCTCTGACCCCCCCCCCCCGACCCCCAGGTGAGAAACGCTGCTCTAAATCCTTAATCATCACTGTCTCTGTTACTTGTTACAGACCTTTTGTGCTCTTTGTACATACAAGGTCAATCCTTTCAATTCAGACCAAAGGAAATTATGGGGCCAGTGCTCGAGGCACTATCAATACTAAACAATATTGCATTAAACTCTTTGTAAGAGGAGAATCCCCTTTCTTTAGTGGGTAATAGTCTGTTCACTTGAAGTTCAAGACTAGAACAGATATAGAGAACACATTTGAACAATACTAGAAAATGACTGTTAACTGCTGCCTCTTCTATTCTCAATAACACAGGGTAGCAAATTGTTTGCATAAAAATAGTGCTCATAACTGTACAATTAAAAAAACTATTTTGACCCTAAAGGAATGTTATTATTTTGATAAATATCTTAACCCAGTCGATGCCCCAGTTTTGGCATGGTCCGTTCTCCCAGAAGACACTGGTGCAAATGGAATATATTTCCATTCCTTTGCTAATGCTTGGTTGTTGGCATAAACACGTAATAGCAATACCAGCCTTTCATAGCAGTAAGCCAGTATATATTCATCACATCCCTCTTCATCCCAGTGCCCAGGATGGAAAAGGCTCCTTCATTTCCAATTGCATGAATAGGCAACCTGATGCTGAGACATTATAAGACTATGACGCCTATAATACCTGATTTCTTACTTTGAGAATTGCCACCTGGTTGCCACCATATCTTATTTCCCTTCCATGGGTGTGCAACTATTTGTGGGACAACGGATTTTGAGTCAAGATTCAGAGGAACTCTTTTTGCACTGAAGCACTTCTACCTTGTACTTTTGCATATCCTTCCTAAGTCAGGACAGAACAGCAAACAGCATGTCAGGTTTCCCACTGCAGAGATTCAGCTGGTGTACATATGTTTTAAAATTGACTAATTACATAATGTTGAGACACAGTGCAATAGAGCATGACACGAAAGCCCAGCATCTGAAACCAATGCCTCATGCTGGGCTGTCTTTCCCCTCAGAGGATGACAGATTAATAGTTGGAACAGCTGAAATTGCTGAAGAATTGACTTGAGGGCAATCAAGGGCTGCAATGAGTCATTAGTTATGCTTGTTTTTAACAACACATTTCTCTCTGATGTGGCCTTATAATAAAGCAAGCCAAATCATCTGTAGTTCTGTTTTAATTCCAAGAGCAATTTTTCAAACAATGGTATAAAAGTCTCAAATACTACTACTACTAATAATAATAATAATAATAATAATAATAATAATAATCTGGCCACACTTTTATTATTTGAGTGAACTACAAAACTAGACCTGTGCTATGCACCTATTCTTCATTGTTAGCAATATTTCTGTAACAAATGTATTATTTTGCCAAATTAAATGGTCAGGAAACATTTATTTTGAAACAGCTTTTAAAAACACAGAGAGAAAATTTGCTTCCTAGTCATGGATTTAATGCTGAGAGAATGATTTTTAAAGTGAGGGAAAGATATGTTTATCAATAGATGAAATATCTCACATTAAAAGGGATCTGTATATCATCCAATTTGATATTTATGTACAACAAGAGAGAGCTTTGCAAAGCCATTGTTGTGGTACGGGAGAACTTCAAAGGACACATAAAAATGTCATTAGTTAGCACAGGGTTATTATGAAACAGAGAAGTTAACTTAGTAAAATGTTGCCAAATATGAGAGTCTGGCTCAATAGTCTAGTACAGTGATGGACAACCTTTTGAGCGTGGTGTGTCAAAATTCACCAAAAAACCGAGCATAATTCAGGTGATGTGTCACTTCAAGAAAAAAACCATAATTTTGCAATATTTAATTTAAATAGCAAAAGATATATCATTGTAATATATAACTATCTATATCTATCTATGTATATAATAAAAGTCATTGTTTGTATACGGAGGAAGTGCGGCGGACGTAGGGCAGAGGTATTTGTGGCAGCTTTCTGATTGGTTGCCACTGAGGTACAATTTGCATATGGTCTCGGATTGGCCAGCCTGAAAATTCCAAGACTCTGAGGTGACAAAGAGGGGAAAAGGCCTGAGGCTGTGTCAGAAAATTACCAATACAGACCAAACTTGGCACACAGAGCCCGGAAGACCCACTCTACATCCTACTGCAGTTTGGAGTAGGATGGACCATGTATGATGGGACTTGCAGTACCATCACTCACTTTCTGAGATCCCTGTGATCCTCATACAATGACTGACCAAGGCCAAACTTGGCACATAGACCTCTCATGACCCACTTTATGCCCTGGTGTGGTTTGCCCTCTTCAGCAGCGGCCACCATTCGGCCAAGGGCCAAGTCGGAGGGAGGGAAGAAGGCCCACGCCAAGGAAAAGGCCTGCTTCCATTTTAAACATGCAAATGAGCCCCGTGGGAGGGAGGAAGGGCGGCCAATCAGGAGCACGGCAGAGGCCCCGCCCCATTGCTTCTGCTCTGAAGGAAGAGAGGGCAGTGGTGATGTCACCCAGGTCCCGCCCCCTCTGCAGCCGGCACCATTTTTGGAGGAAGAAGCAGGAGCGACGACAGAGGCGAGTTGGTAGAGGCCTGTTTGGGAGATGAGGGAGGGAAGGAAGGAAGGAAGGAAAAGGAATTTGAGGTGAGGGAGAGGTGGAGGGGAGGGGTGGATGGGCGGGCGCGTGTCAGTAGAAATGGCTAAGTGTGTCACTACTGACACGCGTGTCATAGGTTCGCCATCACAGGTCTAGTATATGAGATTATCTAAATGGTGCTTAATAAAGTAAAAGTTGTAGCACTTTGGTGAAGGCATCTCAGGGACCATAAAATACATTGGATCTCCCTATGATGGCAGAAAAGAGTTCTGTCTTCAGAAGGGTAGATGGGTTGTCTGATGTAGAGGACCTGTATCCCTTCCTCTAATATATGAAGGTGTGGCAGCATATTTGGGCTCGTTGACTGCAATTGTTTTTTCCTTTCCTAGATACTTGTAAAATATCAATAACTAGCAGCTTGGGGAATGATACCAAGTCCATAGCGTAGACAAATACCATGAATAGCATTGCCCTAGTTGAAATAAGTTTGAAGCCACATCTTGGAGATGTAAAACTAATTCCACCATACTACAATACACCTTCAATTGTCTAGTTTAGCTCTCTGCACCACAAATTCGTGTAACTATATGAACACCATCTTGCTTGTATTACTATAGGATGTTGTGAATTAAGAAATTGAAATGGTACAGAACATTTGCTTCCATACAGGCATGTTACAGGAAGGTTTCCTGACTATCCTGATGAACAACAAGGAGGTTCAGCTGCTCTTTTTTCTGAAAAAACTCCAGAAGAGGTAACGTTCGTTTTAGTAATTCATGCAGAAAAAGGAAATTGGGCTGGGATGAAGATTAGGGTTAAATTTGAGTTTTGCATATATAATGTAGTATAATTGAGAAAATCAATTTATTTTCACATTTCAATTTTGTCTAGAAAAAAAATGGCTTTGGGGGAAAAGGGGGATACTTTTTCTGATTTTTTAAAAATATGTTGCCAGACCTTCACACATATTACATGTATGTGTCAATTAATTATTTACTGATATAAATAATACAACAATCTTTCCTTTTGAATGGAAGAATTCATGGTACAAAGTAAAATATACAGAATGTGTTTAAGGATTTATTTGTACTGATATCAGATAGTGAAGACTTCAGGATAAAAGATGCCTGATGTTCCAAGCCATATGATTTTTAGAATGATAACCATAAATATCATTGTGACCTTTTGTTTTGTAGGGAAAATTAATCTGGCACAAAAGCAATAAAATGTTTGCATTACGCCAAAAGTGGAAAAACTGAGTTTTTTAAGCCCCACCTCCAGCATGCATACTACAGATTAGGTGAAGCAAAAAAAAAAGGGCTACATTTCATTCTCAGGCTATAGATATAGATAGATAGATAGATAGATAGATAGATAGATAGATAGATAGATTTGTAGATATTTAAGTCCCATTTTTCCATATAGTCTATTGACTACTCGAAACTAAGTAAAAGTAGCTTGGAGTCTATAATCTCTTTGAAATTTTAATCCATTTGTTCTATTCATCAAATAGTTTAATAAAAGGTAAAGGTTTCCCCTTGACATTAAGTCTAGTTGTATCCGACTTGGGGTTGGTGCTCATCTCCATTTCTAAGCTGAAGAGTCAGCATTGTCCGTAGACTTCTCCTAGGTCACGTGGCAGGCACGACTACATGGAGCGCCATTACCTTCCTTCTGGAGCAGTACTTATTGATCTACTCACATTTGCATGTTTTTTGAACTGTTGCATTGGCAGAAGCTGAGGCTAACAATGGGAGCTCACTCCGTCCCGCGAATTCGAACCGCTGACCTTCCGGTCAGCAAATTCTGCAGCTTAGTGGTTTAACCCGCGGAGCCACCAGAGCCCCTTTTAATAGCCTAAGAGTAGCTGCTAAATTACAACACAGATTTGTGGTTACTGATGTAGGTCTCATGTAAAATGCTGTATCTACACTAAATTGATTATCATTCTTAAAAGCTATGTTTAAACATCTAGGCAGTTTTCGTTTCTTCATTTTCCATTAGGTTGCTGCTGAATTAACTGCTAAGGAGGAAGAAGAAAAGAAGAGGAAAAGCAGAAGGAAGGGTAAAAAGGAAAAGAAAGAAAAGGGGAAAAAGAAAAAGAAAGGAAAAGGAAAAGAAGAGAAGAAACCGAAGAAGAAAGGGGAGGCAAGACATTTGGATGCTTCACTTAACCATATACCCCCTCCCCCACATTTATTATAAAGACCCTGAAGCCACCCTGCATAACTGTTCTCATGCTTTGTGGCAAGCATGGAAGGACTGGAGAAGCATTTGGCTATGTGTCTGTAGCTGGACTTAAGATCCATAGAATCATAAAATCATAGAGTTGGAAGAGACCTCATGGGCCATCTAGTCCAACCCCCTGCCAAGAAGCAGAAACATTGCATTCAAATCACCCCTGACAGATGGCCATCTAGCCTCTGTTTAAAAACCTCCAAAGAAGGAGCCTCCACCACACTCCATGGCAGAGAGTTCCACTGCTGAAGGGCTCTCACAGTCAGGAAGTTCTTCCTCATGTTGAGATGGAATCTCCTTTCTTGTAGTTTGAAGCCATTGTTCCGTGTCCTAGTCTCCAGGGTAGCAGAAAACAAGCTTGCTCCCTCCTCCCTGTGGCTTCCTCTCACATATTTATACATAACTATCATATATATCAGATTGGCCCCCTCCCTGCTGGCGTTTCGGAGGAAAGTGAAGACCTGGCTGTTCGAACAAGCATTTGATTAAACAGTGTAATTGAACATAGGAATACGGAATAATGGATGATGAGACTGGATTCTGATTTTACTGTTGAGGCGCTAATGATTGTTATACTGATGTTTAATGATTTATGTTACAGTTGTTTTTAATTGCCCTATACTTGTCTTGTGATGTTTTGTATCGATGTTGTTAACCGCTTTGAGTCGCCTGAGGGCTGAGAAAAGCAGTATATACATAAAGTAAATAAATAAATAAATAAATATCTCCTCTCATCTTTCTCTTCTTCAGGCTAAACATCCCCAGCTCCTTAAGCCCCTCCTCATAGGGCTTGTTCTCCAGACCCTTGATCATTTTAGTCGCCCTCCTCTGGACACATTCCAGCTTGTCAATATCTCTCTTGAATTGTGGTGCCCAGAATTGGACACAATATTCCAGGTTTGGTCTAACCAAAGCGGAATAGAGGGGTAGCATTACTTCCCTAGATCTAGACACTATGCTCCTATTGATGCAGGCCAAAATCCCATTGGCTTTTTTTGCCGCCACATCACATTGTTGGCTCATGTTTAACTTGTTGTCCATGAGGACTCCAAGATCTTTTTCACACGTACTGCTCTCGAGCCAGGCATTGTCCCCCATTCTGTATCTTTGCATTTTGTTTTTCTGCCTAAGTGGAGTATCTTGCATTTGTCACTGTTGAACTTCATTTTGTTAGTTTTGGCCCATCTCTCTAATCTGTCAAGATCGTTTTGAATCCTGCTCCTGTCCTCTGGAGTATTGGCTATCCCTCCCAATTTGGTGTCGTCTGCAAACTTGATGATCATGCCTTCTAGCCCTTCATCTAAGTCATTAATAAAGATGTTGAACAGGACCGGGCCCAGGACGGAACCCTGCGGCACTCCACTTGTCACTTCTTTCCAGATGAAGAGGAAGCATTGGTGCGCACCCTCTGGGTTCGTCCATTTAACCAATTACAGATCCACCTCACCGTAGTTTTGCCTAGCCCACATTGGACTAGTTTGTTTGCCAGAAGGTCATGGGGGACCTTGTCGAAGGCCTTACTGAAATCCAGGTATGCTACATCCACAGCATTCCCAGCATCTACCAAGCTTGTAACTCTATCGAAAAAAGAGACTATTAGCAATGACCGCATTTGTTTCTAAGTGTTTGCAGACAACTTCCTTAACAATCTGTTCCAGAATCTTGCCTGGTATCAACGTGAGGCTGACCGGACAGTAATTGTTTGGGTCATCCTTTTTTCCCTTCTTGAAGATTGGGACCACATTGGCTCTCCTCCAGTATGCTGGAACTTCTCCTGTTCTCCAAGAACTCTTAAAGATGATTGCCAATGGTTCAGAAATGACTTCCACTAGTTCCTTCAATACTCTTGGGTGTAGTTGATCTGGCCCTGGGGACTTGAACTCATTTAGAGCGGCCAGGTATTCCTGGACGACTTGTTTCCCAATTTGGGGTTGGATGTCCTCTAATCCCTCATCCACTCCATCTTGCTGAGGTTGAAGATGACTTTCTTTTTGTGAGAAGACCAAGGCAAAGAAGGCATTAAATAGTTCTGCCTTTTCCCTATCCCCTGTCAGCATTGCCCCATCTCCTGGAAGAGGCCCTATCGCCTCCTTGTTTTTCCTTTTTCTACTGACATAAGAAAAGAAGCCCTTTTTATTGTTTGTAATGTCCCTGGCAAGCCTGAGCTCGTTTTGTGCTTTAGCCTTCTGGACTTTTCCCCTACAGGTGTTGGCTATTTGTTTGAATTCTTCTTTGGTGATTTCTCCCTTTTTCCACTTCTTGTGCATGTCTCTTTTTTGTGTTTTAGCTCTGTTAGAAGTTCTTTGGACATCCATTCTGGCTTCTTTGCACTTGTCCTATTTTTTCTCTTTGTTGGCACAGTTTGCAATTGCGCAAAGATAGTATAGGATGATATAAACAAGGACAAATAGGCCAAGAGAGAGCTTTAATCCTATAGCTGTGACTATATAAAACTCTGTGGTTTTACACTGATGTGGCATTAGGGATTGTGGAAGGATGGATGTTTTGTTTTGTAATTCTACATATAAAATATAATTGAGGGTGGCATTTAATTTCGTTTTGCGATGTACAAAAACAAAATTATTCTATTCTGAGAGACGAGAAGGTTCTGATGGAAAAATTCTCTTCTTCCACTTGTGAGAAGGAAGTATTTTGCTCAGAATGGATTGTAGCTGTTTAATGAATGGACTCGACCACTTGTATGGGTTGAGCGAGAGCTCTTATTGGACAAATATAGTCTGTTCAAGGTGTGACTTGTAGTTGATTTTTCCCTAAGTATCCAGTTTGTTTTTCCATTTGATTGGAGGAATATTGTAGTTTAAGTAAGGATGACTTTAAATCTGTAAGTTTTGTGTCTCTCACTCGTACATTTTCTTTCTAGTCTGAACCACACTCACACAGCTGATATTTTGAAAAAAAGGCAACCAAGCTTTTTAGTAGCATTTGTGCTAGTGCCCAAGTTGTCACTATTTCCCCCAGATCAAGACCACAGCCCAGGCAGTAGTAGTTCACAGGCCTTCCATGCCTTGTGATGGACAGATACGCCTTCTTCTAAGAGGCAGGTGGGCTTCTGTTGTGAGAACGATACTTTTGATGCAAAGACCATCCATGTAATAACTTACAACTTTAAAAGCACCAAAAGAACATCAAGCAACCATATGTTTTATGATGAATTGAATGTGCCCTTGCCTCCAAACTTTATGTGCTGGCTAAAGCTTTCTAAACACCTGTCAGGTTTTGCCACACAGAGAGCATGTTAACATTAGCTGGTGAAAGATCAGAGCATCCTAGCCATCCATGGAAACAGAGCACTAGGATTCTAAAAAAAGGGGAATCTTGTGTATGCCATTATGGGATCACTGATGCAAAGTACTCAGGGTATTAATAACCGTTTTGTTAAACTACCTTTCTTTTTAATTCACTGTGTTTCTAAATTTCATATGGCAAATCAAGGAAGAAGAAGAAGGATGGAAAATGTCCCCCAGTAATTTTCTTCCAATAATGGAAGATGGAAACAACAAATACAAAGGCAAGTAAAAGAGCTTGAAATTATAAACTTGCCTATCACGTTTTATTATCATAACCTAACCATTTTAAAATGAAGATGTAGAGTGGAGCTTCAACAGTAAAATGGAAGAAATTTTTCAGTGTTCCTTACCTTAGGGTTTGTTTACCATAATATGTAAGCAAGGTGCTAGAAATACAAATGGTAAAAATGTTAAATTAACATGCTTCCATGGTCAGGGTGCATGCTTCATTAGATATTTTTAATAGCATTCTAAAATTTATGTTCAAAATATGTGGCTGGGGATTTCAAAGCTATTCAAGAGGATATGGTGTGGTGGATTTCTTCATCAAAAGATTCCATTTATCATGAAGACTTGATGGCAAGAGGGGGAGTCATTTTTTTTCAATCTGACTGAAAGCAGATGTGCCCATATTCCTAGAAGTTGAGATGGTTGCTGTGTTTTTAAAGAGTAACCTTGATCATCCCTTGTTCCATAACTTAAGAAATATAAATAGATCAACTCGAAGAAGCCAGGGAAACCAAATGCAACCTACCAGTTCCATGGCAGTCCACCGGATGCTCACTAATCCTTTTGTATTTGTTGTAGGAAAAGGGGACACATACACATGCACACATGCATACACTGGCTGCATTCCGACATCCTCTTTGTATCATTGTCCCCATGTGGAGATGTGCTATACAAGCTCTACACAAACATTGTACAGAATAGAAACATTGTGCAATGAATGTCAGTTAGGTGCTATTGGAGGATGCACAATGCATAAGCTACAACTGCCGTGCAAAATACAGGTTAATTGCAGCGCAAAGTACAGAATGAACAACCACAATGCAAATTATAGTGTGCACAACCACAATGTGCAAGTATAATGTGCAGTACACACCAGGCAACTTGAAAAGACAAGGCATGGAAGAACATATGATTTTATGGGATCAGAAAATCATAGAGTTGGAAGAGACCTCATGGGCCATCCAGTCCAACCCCCTACCTAGAAGCAGGAATATTGCATTCAAAGCACCCCTGACAGATGGCCATCCAGCCTCTGTTTAAAAGCTTCCAAAGAAGGATCCTCCACCACAGAGAGTTCCACTGCTGAACGGCTATCACAGTCAGGAAGTTTTTCCTAATGCTCAGATGGAATCTCCTTTCTTTTTTAAAAAAATGTTTTTATTATTTCCTTATTGTTTACATAAAAAGAGTGGGAACAATGGGTATGTGTGAGGTAAAGTAGGAAAGTGAGAAAGTAGAGTAGAAATAGGGTGTGGGGGGGAGGGAAGCAGGGAAAGGGGGGGATGGGTGAGGTGCTTCCAGGATCGCCCAGGATGCTCCGGTTAGTTATTATATGTATATATATATTATATATAGTTCTTGTCTTTACTTGTTTTTGTCATCAGTTTCCTCTTGATACTTCTTTTGAATTTCGGCTATAGATCTCTGATATATATTTCTTTGTTTTCTTCTCTTACGAATTCTAGAATATTTTTCCAATCTGTTTTTTTAAGTTTGGTTTTGTTGTGTTGTGCGAAATTTTTTTGGTCAATATGTCCATATTTATTATGTCCATAACTTTTTTCATCCACTGTTCCACTGTAGGTATTTCCTTAGTTCTCCACAGTTTGGCTAGAGTCATTCTCGCAGCTGATATTAGATAAAAGAATAGCTTATCGGTATTCTTTCCCAATTTGAAATCTGTTATCCCCAGTAGTAGTGTTTCTGGTTTTGGGTTAAATTTTATGTTTAGGATCAGCCCTATCTTCTTATGAATTTGATGACAGATTTTTTTTTTACTTTCCTGCATTTCCACCACATGTGGATAAAGTTGCCTTTGTCTTTTTTGCACTTCCAGCACGTGTCTTTTGTTTTGCCTTTACTTATTTTTGCTATTATTTCTGGGGTTAGATTTTATACCAACTCTCCTTGAGATCTGTTGCATACGTGTATCCTTTTTTTTTTTTTGCCAGATCTCTTCCCAATCTGCCAAAGGTATAGATCAGCCTGTATCTGTCGACCAGTTTATCATAATGTCTTCTACTTGTTCTGTTTCGGTGGTCCATATTAATAGTTGTTGGTATATATTTTTTATTAGTTTTGAGTCCGTTTTTATTATTTTGTCCCAGAATGTGTCCTTTATTTTGAAACCAATTTGTTGTCTATCTTGAAATTTTCTTTAATTTGGTGATATTGAAACCATGAAATGGTTGGATCCATTGATGTTAGTTCTTCTTGTGATTTGAGTGTTATCTCTTGCATTCTTATTTTTAATAGTTGGTTGTATGTCAACCATTTTTCTCTGGGGAGTTCTCTTTTGTGATAGACTTCATTGGGTGAAAACTACAGTGGTGTCTTTGTATTTGTTCCAAGTCTGGATAAGGGCAGTGCATATCGGATGGTTTCTAAAATTTCTTTCAGTTTTTGCCTTTCCTCTCCAAAGGTAGGCATGCCATCCCTGAACAATATCAAAGCCTTCTAAAGCGAGTATTTTCTTCTTTTTTTCAATGTTGCCCAATCTCTTAGCCAACTCAGAGCAGCTGCATCATAATACAGTTGAAGTTCTGGTAGGCCTAGGCCTTCTGTTCTTTTTGTTGTTGTTGTTGTTTTTTTTTTGACATCAATTAAATTTTTGGAGCTTATTCTATGTTTTTTGCCTGTCCAAATGAATTTAATTACCTCTTTTTGCCAATTCTGTATCATTTTTCTTGATTTTAATATTGGTAGTATCTGGAATATAAATAAAATGCCCGGTAGGATATTCATTTTTATTACTGCTATTCTACCCATTATGGAGAGGTTCAGATATTCCCACTTTGTTAATTTTCTTTTTATTTCTTGCCATTTTTTTCGTAATTATTTTTTGTTAAGTTACTAGAAGAGATTATTACACCTAAGTATTTGACCTCTGTAACTACTTTGATTCTTGTTTTTTCCTGGAGTTTCTCTTTTCTTTCTTTACCAATATTCTTGGTGATGATTTGTGTTTTATCTCTGTTTAGTTTTAATCCAGCCACTTCTTCAAATTTCTCTATTTCTTGCAGCCATTTATTTATACCAATTAAGGGATTGTCGGAACCCAGACGCCTTAAAGAGCCAGACTCAATAGTATTTCCAAAAGTAGGGTTTATTTAACAAAGCAAAAGGGACTCAGAGACACTTAACTCAATGTCTCTGGTCAAAACTCAAAAGTAGCAATCAGTTCTAGTTCAAAAGGTAAACTGAAGCAATCCGGATTATCCAGAGAAAAGATTCGGATTAAAACAAAGTGCTCCAAAAGTCACACAAAATAACACAGCAAGTAAAGGGTTAACAAACAAAGAGCCACAAGGAAGAAGACGTAGTCAAAGTCCGAGGTCGTAGCAAGCCAAGTCCAAAGTTGCCAGGTTCCAAAATCCACGTAGGCAGTGTCGTAGTCAAAACCGGTCCGAAGTCAAAGAAGGGAAATTTGCACTCACGAGAATCCAAGCAGAGTCGAAACACACACGAACGGAAGCAGCAACCAACCAAGATGGTGACAAGGCAACAGCGACCCCATTAACAATCCGCTGGAATCCTTGGCTTGCAGATCCCATCTCTCTGCAATTTTCGACAAGAAACCTTCCTGATCTACTAGGGCACCTGACAAACTGTGAAAGATCAGAAACCGTGCTGTAGAGACATTAGTGGGAAACCTTACTTAATTTGAGGGTACTCTCCAAGGTCATTTTAAACCTACTCTTAAGATTTGCAAGCAAGAAACATCACAATCTTTCTCTCATAATTTTTACCAACAAGTGTCCAAGAATAAGTCTTGATAATTTATAAGATCTAATTAGAGAAGCAATATATCGTTAGTAAAAAAAATAAGTGATCTTATAAATATATGTAATATGTCAAATGATGATTAGTCAATTACAAAACAAAGTCAGACAAAATCATATTTCCATGTAGAAAATTGGTTATTATAGAAGCCTAGAGTTGGAAGAGACTATGAAGGCAGCTCAGTCCACTTCCCTGCCATGCAAGAATACACAATCAAAGCACTTCTAAAATGCCCTCTTGAGCTCTGATTCAAATAGGCCTTCTACATTAGTCTTTTTCTTAAAGATCATTTTATAAATGACCTTTAAGAGGTTCTACATTTGAATCTGTTCTGGTTATTTTTTAAATAAATCTTAATTATTATATATATCTTTAGAGGAATAGCAATGGTCATTATTCACTCAGTGGTTGCAGGTTAAGACTTCACTCATTTTCTTATTGGCCTATTCATTTTGACTAACCCTGTAGTTAAGTTTGATTTTTCCATTTCAGGAGGCCGGTTCAAACATTAAACTTTATGGCCGTTGTTAAGGCCTGTTACCAGATACTAGCAGTATAAACTTCATTGTAAAGCTGTGTTCTTTTTTTTAAAAAAAAAGAAAAACAAAAAGCCATTCTCTTTTCCAAGTGTTTCGTCTCTTCTTTCTTGGGTTATAGATATTTGGCAGAACAGAGACGAGGCTTGGAACTTCTCACAGGAGTATGACCCAGAACTGATCAAAGAAGAAAAGAGGAAAGAAGTAGAAGAAGAGATCAGAGTGCAGGTGAACTTACACTAGAAGGATATATATAAAACAAATGGCTGTTGCCAGGGTAGATCCCTGTACATAAGTAAATGCTTGTCAGGCATACATACAGAACATACAGAACACCAGTTTGCTTTTATCCATTCACTCTAAATGAACTATACTTATCTGAGAGTGTGTTTGCATGGAGAGGTGGAATAAAAAATGAAGCTGAAAAAGAAGCACTAGACCTTTATATGAAACGTTGACATCAGTACCTTCAACTGACACATTTCCTTTTCTTTACTTTGCTCTCTTCATCATTTCATTATTCTGGTTACATAATACATTAATTTGTTTCTTTAAAAAAGAGAACTGTCTTTTTACAGACAATTAATAACCAGATCCTAATGCCTGCATGACAAAATAACACTTGGAACTTGTTGACTTATCCAGGAAATCTTTTAAGTATGAACTATATAATGACCTTAATTCCCCATATGGCCAAAATTCTAATATCTGGTATAAACTGAATTGGCAATTTTCTTTGCTGGAATATTTGAGGGAACTTGTCCTCTTGTACAAACCTGGAAGACAATTAAGGTCCAGTGGGGAGACCTTGGAATTGACCAAGGCACTTTCTTTCATGCACCTTAAGAGGACCAGGGAGGGCTCGTTTTCAAGGGCGGCCCCTATCTTGTAGAACACACTGCCTGAAGAGTTAAGAAAATGTTTTGTTAAGCCAAAGAAGTTATAGGGAAGCTCTGGATTTTTATCTTGATTCTAATGTTTATATGATTTTAACTGTGTTTTCTGTTTCAAATATTTATGATTTTATGGTTTGTTTTAACTTTTGTACTATATGTTTTTTTGCTCTGTTGTAGCCACCTTGGGTCTGTGCTCAGAGAAAGGCAGAATATAAATTTCTCAAATAAATAAGTAAAAAATAATTTCAGGAAATTAATAACTTTTTCAAGGCCAGTTCTGCCCTGCATTATTTTGGTATAGAACTAGCCTGTGTGCAGAATTTAGCAATTCTGATTAAGACAGCAGTGGCTTAAAACTCCTCTAACTGGGCTTAATAACCTGCATGCAGCGTGCAGTCTCTCCTGGCTTTCTTAATAATATTCTGTCACTTCCATTCCTTATCACATGTTAAGAAAAATCATGGGATACTCCAGATTTTGCCCGAAACTCTGAAGCAACCTTGTGGCCTCAGCCCCAGTATGGACAGGAGGGCTGGGTCTGATGCAGACCAGTCTGCTGTCCAGCAATATAATCTTCCTTTCCTTGCACTCATTATCACAGAGAAAGGGGGACAGATAATGCCAGAGTTGCCGTCATTGCCGCTGTCAGATAGCTGCAGAGTGGCACTGGCGATGATGGTATGAACATTAAGGTGAGTCTAGCAGTTATTTATTTATCGTGTCATCAGCAACCATTGTATTACAATTCTAACAGAGCAAAACAAACACACAGATTAAAAAGAAAAAGAGAAAAACCACACAGATTTTGCAAATTTGGTGGTTGGTTAAATGTCCTTTGACCAGTGTCTGGCCACTTGGAGTGCCTCTGGTGTTGCCGCAAGAAGGTCCTCCATCGTGCATGTGGCAGGGCTCAGGTTGCATTGCAGCAGGTGGTCAGTGGTTTGCTCTTCTCCACACTCGCATGTCGTGGATTCCACTTTGTAGCCCCATTTCTGAAGTTGGCTCTGCATCTCGTGGTGCCAGAGCGCAGTCTGTTCAGCGCCTTCCAAGTCGCCCAGTCTTCTGTGTGCCCAGGGGGGAGTCTCTCATCTGGTATCACCCATGAATTGAGGTGCTGGGTTTGGGCCTGCCACTTTTGGACTCTCGCTTGCTGGGGTGTTCCAGCGAGTGTCTCTGTAGATCTAAGAACACTATGTCTTGATTTAAGTCGTTGACGTGCTGGCTGATACCCAAACAGGGGATGAGCTGGAGATGTCTCTGCCTTGGTCCTTTCACTATTGGCTGCTACTTCCCGGCGGATGTCAGGTGGTGCAATACCCACTAAGCAGTGGTGTAGGGTGCAGACACCCTGTGATAATGCGGCATGTCTCATTAAGAGCCACATCTACTGTTTTAGTGTGATGAGATGTGTTCCACACTGGGCATGCATACTCAGCAGCAGAGTAGCATAGCGCAAGGGCAGATGTCTTCACTGTGTCTGGTTGTGAACCCCAGGTTGTGCCAGTCAGCTTTCGTATGATGTTGTTTCTAGCGCCCACTTTTTGTTTAGCAGTGGCAAAGCAGTCTTGACCTGAATGGACCCTGTGAAGAACCCTTACCTTTTAGCAGCCAGGATGGAGGGCCTAGAGAAGCCTGAAAGCTTAATACAGGATGTGGGCATGGTGAAGCCTCGGCGGCCATTTTAGTGTAGTTCAGAGCAGGGGGCGTGGCCTAGTCAAGAAGCCAGCAGGGAATGGCCGGGATTGGTGGAGAAAAAGGGGGCGGAGTTTAGGAGAAGCTGAGAGGAAAAAAGGAGCATTTTAAGTTATAGAGATGAGTTGGAGTTTGGGGTTTGAAGAGAAAGGGAGTTTAGGAGTGGAGTGGTGTTAAGGGTGAGAAGAAAAGGCAAAGGCTTAGCCAGAAGTTCGCCAGCAGGGTAGCTAAAGCAAACTGACAGCTATTAGGAGAATAGCTGTGTAGTAGCAGGATAGAACTAGGATAAGTTTATCTGGGCTACTGAAGAATTTCTGGCAGAGATTCAGTCCTGTTAGGATTTTTGTTGTTGGAGGGAGAGAAGAATCTCTTAAGTAACAAAAACAGAACTATTCATGTAACTGTCACGCTTTTAAGACACAACTTTCTGAAACAGCCCAGATTTTAACTGCATTTGTTCCTGTTCTAATTAATAAACTTTGCTGATTATTGTTCATCAAAACCTGACTCAAGTGTGCCTCTATGCTTGAAGATTTCCAAAGCAACTTTAATCAGTTTTGAAGAAACTAATGGTGGCAGCATTGATTAGTGATCTGAATAGAGTTTTGTAATTTGGTCTCCAGAGACTGAGATCGATTTGTTAGATCATTATAGACCCCACCTCATGGTCCAGCAGGTTGGGGACAGAATATGTGACCACCTCTGAGGTCAATCTGTGGCATTTTTTCTCTAGACTATCCCTGGATTAAGCAGCCATGTAGATGAGGTCTAGAGAAATTGTAGCTTTTATTACAGGAACTCCATTTTAAGATAAGAATGATAATCAGGGTGCTAATGTAATTGTTCTCCATTCTAGAGAAGAATGGAAACCTGATTAGGAAGGAGAACAGGTGAAGGCAAAACCCCTAAGATTATCAATTTACACCACAGAGGGGATACCGTAAATAGACAAGAAGGGACATTTTGGATCAATGAAACTATATAAACCTATTACTTCTGCCCACTCTGAGGCATTCTTGTGTCAACATCATCATTCGTGATTCTGACGTTACAATCTTTTAACTTGGCAATTTCACTTTTCTGTGTTATGAGGAAAATATGGGTTCAAAAGAGTTGCTTCCTTGTTGTTGAATGGATCTGACACTAATCTCCGAACAGATAGACACACACACACATTTTGTGTTCATGATTTTGAACTTTCCTATTGTGGCACCTGCCTCACTTGCCATTGGCTCTTATCTATTGTGGCCCTAGTTCCACCTATACCTGCAATCAGCAGCACTACCCTCTTCCCTAAACAGCTTCAGTTGATACCAGCTGCCTTTGGACCTTTTTAAAAATTTCCTCATGTCTAGAAACTGTGAGTGGTAGCAGAAATACTGCTTGAAATTCCAATCTATATTAAATTTAGTGTGAAGGTATGCTCAGGAATATCTGAGGTCTGAGGTCTAGTACAAACGAAATCCTTCAGATTGAGTTTCCAAAACTGGTCAAGAAATTTTATAAAGTCATGAGATATTTAAAGGGAGAAGAATGACATGCTCATATTAAATTTAGTGTGAAGGTATGCTCAGGAATATCTGAGGTCTAGTACAAACGAAATCCTTCAGATTGAGTTTCCAAAATTGGTCAAGAAATTTTATAAAGTCATGAGATATTTAAAGGGAGAAGAATGGTGTGATGAATCTAACCTTTTGCCAGGAAGGCCGAAGCCTGGAAAGTCAGTAGCTGACATGTTGAGAGATAGGCAGGAGAGCTAAGAGGCAAGAGGGAGGAGTCAGCCGACTCCTGATTGGCTAGAGCAGTCAGGGGAGGAGTGAGCTTTGAGAGGGAAAAAAGGCTGTGTCTTTTTGACAAGCTGGGAGAAGAGCTTTAAAACATCGAAGAGTGTAGAAGGATAGTTAGGAAGAGGGAGCTGTGAAGAATTTAGACAGGGAGAGAGAACTTTTGAAGTGAGCCTTGTAGTTAGAGCATAGGAAAGGCAAAGGTTCCTGAAACACTGTACATAGTAGGGTCAGTGTAGGAAAGCCTATTTTGCTCTGTGAGGCAGTCAGTGGGCTGTTCTCAGGGACACACTGTGTCAGTGTAGTGAACAGTGTGAAGCAAGGAACTCACAGGGAACAAAAGTTAAAGTCTTGAGAGAAGACTACCTGTCTAAACAGCTAAACCTTAGTAACCGCATTACGCTTTTGTACCACTCTTATGAAGAGTTGGTTTGTTCACCAAGTTTAAAATAAACCTGTTTCTATTTTATCTTTAAATTGGTGTCTGCCTCGGTCTGTCACAATCATTAGACCTCTGTTAGCCTGAAGACAACTCAATTTCAGTCCAGTCAGCGAAAGAAGCAGTCATTAAAGAAGAACAAGGGCTTGAATACACTTTACCTATTTCACATTCACACATGTTTTCCTCAGACATATAATTGAGGTGGTGGTGGCGAAACTACCAATTACATCAGTAATTAACATCGTTAATACAGTTGGTCACTTGATAATAATATTGAGGTGGGATAAGAGAGTCTTTCCCCCTCGTCATAGTCATTTATCCTTGTTAAAGTAGTGTCCAGCTGAACGTTAATATCTTCACACTGTTGGGCAGAGGTTGGGATTAGTCTTCCCACCTGCCCAGTGTGTCGCTTATCTTCGTTATAAATGTATTAACTGTCCCTTTAATATTTTGTAATATTTGTAATATTTTCTCAAATAGATTACGAACACAAAATGCCAAAATGGAATAATTTCATAGGCATGTTTGCCTTTATCCCTAATCCAAGATTTTTATTCATTCATTCATTCATTTAAGCACAATCTTCCAAATTCCATGTGTATATTTGCCCAAACAGGTTGATGAACTAATGCGTCAGGAATTGAAGAATCTGAAGTTAACTGTAGACAGAGAGACAGAGAAAAAGGGGAAAAAGGGGAAAAGGGGAAAGGTAAGTAAAACTTTATATCTTTTTATTAGTTGACTACAAGCCAGGGCTGATATTACTGCTGGCATCTTAACAACACAATTCCCCATGTTCCTTAATTAATTAAGGTACATGACTTTACATGAGTCTTTTTCAGCTCAGCTGTATAATGCATACATACAAGAGATGCCGGGCATCTTCAAGGTTAAGAAAACCCCTGTCTGAAAGTTTGGAACACCCTCCCCAGGGAGATTAGGCAGGCCTCCACATTGTCCTCCTTCCATATGGATCTGAAGACTTGGATTTTTAAACAAGCCTTTGAGAGCATTTAGTGGGCCACAATTAATGACACAGCACTGCACTGCATCCCGTCAGTGTTCCTCAGCTACAATTTTACATTCCCCCTCGATGGACTTTCACCTTATCATGGTGAGGGGGCTTGCGTGTTCCAATGAAGCTGCGAGCACAACGGCTGGAGTTGTGCACTCCCAGGAGTTGCTCCGGGGGAGGTTCCAGACCAAGCACAGTCCGAAGACCAAAAGACTTCAACAGCGGAGCAGACGGAGGATAACATGGTAAATGTTACAATGGCTGTGAAGGCGTAAGAAGGCTGCAACAGATTGAGAAGCCACGGTCATCTTGGTAAACTATGCCACCCGAGGAACCTCACTCTGTGAAGACTGTGTGTTGATCAGTGTGCACTGACCTCCACACATTTAAAAAATTCACGCAGAGGCGTCTTCCAAGGAAAATAATTTTTTAATAAAACAACCAAAGTCCCATCAGCGAGTGGCGAAGGGGACAGGACTGTGAAATCTGGAAGTCCCTAGTCACAGACTGGCACATGGGCGGTGGATACGGACTCAGTCATTCTACCTCAAAGTCCGAGGCAGTTGAGTAGTTCGGCAGCTGTATCCATGACTGAGCAGCCCTTTTGAGGATCCACTCTGCTCACCCCACATGGGGAAGGGGCTAGAAAAGGTGCCCTAAAGATAGTCTGCCTCTCTTATTCCTGACTGGACTACCACGCCCAGTGGGGTCACCACCCTGTGGCCAAAAAAGAAAAATGAAATTCAGTACATGGAATGTACTGACACTGATGGACAACATTGACAGTGAATGCCCGAACGCAGAACTGCCATCATTGCAAGGGAGCTGGGATGCTTTAACATCAACATAGAAGCACTTCAGGAGACCCAGAGAGCAGGAGCAGGAAAGCTGAAGGAAGAAAAAGGAGGCTACACCTTCTTCTGGAAGGGACTGCCTGAAGAAGACCAAAGAATGCACGGAGTTGGCTTTGCTATCAGAAATGATCTGGTGAAACCGAAGCACCCACTGATTTAAAAGCCAAGGATTGCAGGAGTGGTTTTGGTAATGGGACGGAGATGTATTTGGTAATGAAGACTGAAACTACCTTATAATGACACAATTGTTTGACAGCATGTGGCCATTATTAGAAGTGTTTGCACAATATACTGTATGATGGTTTGAGGTTTTCTTGCATGTACAGTAGAAACCATATGCATCCACTTAAGCCAAGTACACTTAACTTCTAGAGTCCTTGTGAAAGGTACTGATGTCAGCTGGAAATTACCTTACCAGAGGTTTCACAAAGATCCAGAAGGCCAGGGATTTACAAAAAGTGAATAAGAGAACATTTCATAGAAGAATTCATAACATCACATCAAAATGTGCCATCCTGAAAACCTAGACTCCCCAAATAATAGCATTTAATTCTGGGGTGAGTTTGTGGGAATGAGGGTGCCGTTAGAAAGGCAGATGTAAGAAAATAAATCTGTTGCTAATGAACTATTTTTGAAAAACAATGTTTTAACAATTTTGAATGTTTCCCATTTTTCTTTGTGGCCTCTGTGAATGCACACACATGGAGTATCTGCGCCTGCGCAGGCTCCAACAGAAAACTTCCCAAGTTGAAACTTTTAAGTTTTGGTGGTAACCCCACCCAGCCGCCAAGCAGGGCATAAAAGGCGCCCCGCGTGCACGCTCCGCAGTTCCTGTTTTTCCTCCGCACAGCTCGCTCGGAATCTTCCTACTATGTCAACTACTAGATTTAAGCATTGTATTCAATGCTCTCGAAAGTTACCTGACTCGGATAAGCATTCGAAGTGACTCCGTTGCCTCGGAGAGGCCCACAGCACTTCGACTTGCAAGCACTGCCAGGCGCTGACAGCCCAGTCGAGAAAGAACAGGGCAGCACGCCTCAAAGTTCTTCTATACGAAGAATCGTTGGCTCCTCAGCCATCGATTTCAACAGCGTCCACATCTCAACCTCCTCTGGCCTCTTCTTTGACTTTGACTATGCAGTCATCGAAGCCACCTTCTACAACCTCAAAGTCGTCGAAACGGCCTCAAAAACAACCCTGTATGCTAACGACACAGACGGTGTTGGTGAGGCGTCCGTCCACCTCGAGCTCAGTGGCCTCCGTTCGATTGACGAGGTCGACCACGGCCACGCCGCCGTCAACTTTGGCCATGAGGATCGCTTTCAAGCGGTCACATGAGGAGTCTCACAGGGCCAAATCGACACCGGCCTCGATTCCTCTGATGCGGGGAAGTCCTTGCAGCCCACGTTGCATCCCCCGGCTAAGAAGAGGCCTCAACCTCGATCTTCCTCTTCTTCCTCCTCAAAACAATTAACTCAGATGTCTTCAACGACCTCCTCATCCAGGTCATCCCCAATCCAGTCAGCGCAATAACGCCACTGGTCGACCCGACTCCAGACGTCCAGATGGAAGAAGAATCCCACGGTTATGCGTTGCAGTTCAAAAAGTTACCACCTACGGGCCTCGTCCGAACAGACCCTTCACCAGCAATCCTGGCAGAAGTCGATTCACTGCTTCTGAAAGGAGCGATCCAAAGATCACCTTCTCATTTGGACAATCGTGCCTTCTTTTCAAAATATTTCATGGTGCCGAAGCCGGATGGCTCACTACGCCCCATCCTCGACCTCAGGGCACTGAACAAGTTTATCCACGTTTCAAAATTCAGAATGGCTACAGTATCATCGATAACCCCCATGCTGTATCGAGGTGACTTCTTCGCATCGATTGACTTAAGAGAAGCTTACTTCCACTTGTCAATACAGAAGTCCCACAGACGGTCCCTCTCCTTCAAGATTGGGGAACAGACATACTCTTTCACTGTGCTCCTGTTTGGTCTCGGGACGGCACTGAGGACATTCACCAAGTGCATGTCAGTCATCGCAGCATACTTGAGGAGGCGCAAAATCCATGTTTTTCCTTATCTGGACTACTGGCTGCTGGCTTTGACATCGCCAGATTTTCTTCGGGCACAGGTTGCATTTACTCTCAGCCTCTTGCAGGACCTCGGTCTACAACTCAATGCCGAGAAATCTCTTCTCACCCAGATGAGATCGATAAAGTTCATCGGAGCTCACTTCGATTCCATGTCAGAGACGGTCTCCTTACCGAGGGTCAGATACCTAGCCCCCCAACCCAAGATCAACCGTTCCAGAGCCTCCACCAGACTCAGGGCACGTTATGTCCAGGTCTTGTTGGGACATATTGCCTCGACTGTAATGGTCACCCCGTTCGCCAGGCTGAAGATGCGCCCCCTCCAGAAGTGGTTCCTCAACAATTTCAACCCTTGTCGAGACTCCGATCTGAAGGTGCTGTCGATGCGGCAACGGTCCGACGATCGCTGAGGTGGTGGATGGACCAGCGGAATGTTTGCGTGGGACTCCCATTCCACCCACGACAGCCATCAGTTGTCCTCACAACAGACTCCTCAACCTTTGCCTGGGGTGCACACACGAGCCACCTCTCAGTGCAAGATGTGTGGTCGGTGCAAGAGAGGCTTCATCACATAAACTATCTCGAACCTTTAGCCATCTTCAAGACATTCAGGGCCTTCCTCCCTCTCTTGCAAGGAAACATGGTCCAAATCCAGACAGACAATATGGTGGCCATGTATTACATAAACAAGCAGGGAGGGACAGGATCCAGGAAACTTTTCAGACTTTTCATCGCCATCTGGGAATGGTGTTGCCAACATGCAATATTCCCGTCCGCCCTGCACCTCCCCGGGTGGCTAAATGACAAGGCCGATTCGCTGAACCGCTTGACGTCGACGTCACACGAGTGGAGACTCGATACCGTGGAGGTACAGAACCTGTTCGACATATGGGGCCAACCAACGATCGACCTGTTTGCCTCACCGGAGAATGCCCAGCTGCCTCTGTTCGGAGCCCGCCTGCTTCGAGACAAATCCAGAGGATGTCTCGGTGATGCCTTCCTCATGGACTGGTTGACGGAGTTCCTCTACCTCTTCCCACCGATTCTGCTACTCCTTCGGGTGATTGAGAAGATCGAGTTGGCACAGGCCAACTGTATCCTCATCTCACCGGAGTGGCCGAGACAGGTGTGGTTTCCTGCTCTCCTTCGGCTGGCCAGCGATCAAGTGTTTCGCCTTCCCCCCAAGCCAGACCTGCTGTCAAGGGAAGGCAGCCTCTGACGGAAAAAAAGGCTACATTCCCTCGATGTCCGGAGAGCTTTGCTTTTTTATAGAGAAAGAACTTCCTCCTTGCGTAAGACGCCTAGGCTGTTTGTTGCCTATGCGTCGGACAAAGTGGGGTTACCAATATCGTCGCAACGACTCTCCCGATGGATTGGCTCAGCCATTGAACTGTGCTATGAGCTGGCTCATAAGCCCCCTCCGACCTCGATTCGTCCATGGTTGACGAGGGGCATGGCCACCACCATGGCCTTCCTCAAGGGTGTTCCAACAGACTTGATCTGTAAGGCGGTCATTTGGTCTAACCCAATGACATTTGTATCACATTATAGGGTTTAGATACCCGTTCTTGGAGAGACACTGTTTTCAGGCAGATCAGTTCTTTCTACCTGCCCGCCTTAAACCCTTAGAGACTCTCATATTTCATGTAACAAGTTACCTACTCCGTCCCCTGATGCGCTTGTAGGCGCCTCCTCAGATTCCATTTATAATGTTTTATATTGGTTATATGTGCAACGTTCATTCAAAAGTCTCTGCCTGTGGATACAGCATTTCGCCTACATGTTTCCTCACAGTTGTTTCGATGTGCTTATGCAACTGTCTCATACTTACTGTACTTTTCAATGTGCTTATGCAACTGTCTCATACTTACCGTATGGTTTTTTCCCCTCTTGTGTGTTTGACTTGGGGAAACTGTTTATGGTTTTTCAATATATTCTGACCAAAAAAATACCTTTCTCCAGCGACACTTAAGGGGTCACCTGTGTTTATACCTTTGCCATACCCTTTATGATATGGTTGGTTATCCTGACAGATGTTTCTTGCCTAAGATGCCTGTGTCAGTACTATCAATAAAATTATGTTTGGCCCTTAACTGGTGTCGGTTTGTCTCCCACCATCTGGGACCTTAGCTTGCTAGATCTCCATGTGTGTGCATTCACAGAGGCCACGAAGAAAAATGGTAGGCTACTCACCTGTAACCATCTTTCTTCGAGTGGTCCTCTGTGAATCCACACAAACTCGCCCGGCCGTCCCCTCTAACAAACCTCCCCTTTTCCTCGTTATAGCGGTGTAGGAACTGCGGAGCGTGCGCGCGGGGTGCCTTTTATGCCCAGCTGGGCGGGGTTACCGCCAAAACTTAAAAGTTTCATCTTGGAAAGTTTTCCGTTGGAGCCTGTGCAGGTGCAGATACTCCGTATGTGTGGATTCACAGAGGACCACTCGAAGAAAGATGGTTACAGGTGAGTAACCTACCATTATTATGGGTCCTTGGTATCCATTGGTTACAGGATCAGTATGGATACCAAAATTGCTCAAGTCCCATTGATGTGCCAAAGTAAAAAAGGTGTCTCTTATATAAAATCAAGCTTTGCTCTTTTAATATTTTAAACATATTTTCAAACCCTGCATAGTATCTGTAAATACAGAGAGCCAACTATACATATATCATTTTATGTTTATCAGTAAGTCTAAGAATTTTCTTGCCAAAAATATAGCCCACATGTTTTCAACAAAATGCAAGGCAAGAAATAGAATCTGCAAGAAAACTACAAATCAAAATATTTTCTTTTTCTCTACTGAGCTCTTGGCAGTTGGTTGGTTTGTTGTTGCTTTGTAAAACTTTGTGTTAATTAAAAGGGTTCCTCGGTCCCCATTACACTGTATATTTAAAATGACCTTTAAATTATTGTGGTGGAGAAATTGCCTTGAGGAAGTGAACAGTTGACCCATCTGCTGAACATATGTTCATTAGACAATGGACGTCTTAAGTGGAAATAATTTAATCTCCATGATGTGATCATTATTAAAACGTGGAAAGATAATGGGTTATTTGTAGAAATCCTCAAGTAAAATTTGGGGGAAAGTGGGGGAAGAAACATGTTGCATACTATTAGTGGATATCCTCATGTATATTGAGAGTATTATAAATATGCTATGATCTCCCAGATGTTTGTATATTTTTATTTTTACATTATTAGTGTTATTTTTAAATGCTAGCTTGACCTTCAATTTGGATAAGAAATGCTTTCTGACAGTGTTGACATCTGATTAAGAGTGGAATCTGTTGTTGCATCAACAGTTCTTCTGGGCATTATTTGACTGGTAGTAGTTACTCATATGTTCTCTGTGTTATCAAAATGAATGTAGTTGTCCTCATCCAAAGTTGTTTGGTTTTACTACTATTTTTCACTTTATGAAGCACTACCATCTTTTGCAGTGAGTCATGTAATCTTATGATGGCTGAGAATTTTCTGGATTGTTTGGCCTCTTACTTTAACATCACATACTTCCAGCACACAAAAAAATCCTATCTAAACACTGGCATTTAGTACAGTTGTCAAATAGTACCCATCATAGCCCACAAGAAATCCAGAAATTTTCGGGACATTCATCCGGATTTTATAACATCGAAGACAGGCATCCAAGAAACAATCAAGGAAAACTTTGCATGCAGACACTGTGACTACTGTAGCCAAATGTTAAATATAAAGTATTTTACATATCCAACTCGTAATATCACAGTTTCCCTACAAGATCATACAACATGCTCTTCAGAGAATGTAATATATGTAATTAAATGCCCCTGCAATTTACTGTACATTGGTATGACAACTAGACCGCTGAGAACATACATTTAAGGCCTACCAAGTTTAAGAGCATTTGCACGCAACAGAATCTGTTGCAGCAGAGCCAGTGATTACTTAATGAAATGTAAGTCATGTAAACATTACTTTGACTATCTTATATTAGTTATGTATTGGTTTAATGTTAACATAACAACAGGGGTACTATAGTATATCTATCTTATGTATGTTGTTGTTCTTTTCATACAATGTAATTGTAGTGCCAGAGACTTGTCTCCTGTTGAAATATTAAGAAGAATTAATTACCTGAAGAAGGTGTTTTCATCACCAACACCGAAACAAGGAACTACACCCGGATACCTTGTTGTAACTTGGTCACCATTTAGAACTCCTCTCTGGCAAAACTTTGGATGCCACAAATAGTCCTTTGAAATATCTATAAGTGATTGGATTTTTATTTTTATCTACATGAATATGAACATTTATCTATGACAAAGAGAAGTTGTTCCTCTTTATTGTGTATATAAGTAATAAACCTGTCATATGACATCATATTTGAAGTTTCAACACAACAATAATATAATACTTTGTGTATCAGAATTTTCTGGCACAGCATATGTTGCAGCTGGGATTAATTTTTCAAAATATAATAATTGCCTAGTTCACATAGTACCATCCTATGGCCTTATAAGATGGAATAAAGGGAAGCAGGGAAGTTCATATAAGCCCCCTCTACACTTTCATATAATCTGGTTCAAAGTAGATAGTCTGGATTTTATATGGCAGTGTAGAAGGGGCTATATATTGCTAAATGGCTACCCTGAAATGGGGAGGACAACTGTGTAGTAAGAACTTATGAGCAAAACTTTACATAAGAAAAATAAGTATTTCCAAAACTTTACACTGTAAATCATCGCCTTCTCCTGAAAAAAAATTATAATATCACAAAGCACTACCACCTCACCCACTTCATAGGAACTCTGCTGCAAAACAGGAGCTTTTTTGTCGAATTTCAGGGCCAGAGAAGCAGATGGCGAAAATAGAAGAACGGCCTGCCTCAGGAGAGTGTGCTTGCTCCATTAATGTTTAACATTTACACAAATGATCAACCACTGCCAGAAGGGACAGAGAGTTTCATTTATCCTGACAATCGTGCCATTACCACCCAAGCAGGGAGCTTTGAGATGGTGGAACAGAAGATCATTGAAGCTTTAGGTGCTCTTACTGTCTATTACAGGGAAAAACAGCTGATTCCTAATCCATCTAAAACACAGACAGGTGCTTTTCACCTTAAGAACAGACAAACATCTCAAGCTCTGAGGTTTTCCTGGGAATGAATCCCACTGGAGCATTGCAGCACACCCAAATACCTGGGAGTTACCCTGGACCGTGCTCTGACCTACAAGAAGCACTACTTGAATATCAATCAAAAAGTGGGTGCTAGAAACAATATCATACGAAACCTGACTGGCACAACCTGGAGATCACAACCAGATACAGTGAAGACATCTGCCCTTGCACTTTGCTACTCTGTTGCTGTGTATGCATGCCCAGGGTTGAACACATCTCACCACACTAAAACAGTGAATGTGGCTCTTAATGACAATTGTCACATTATCACAGGATGTCTACGCCCCACACCACTGGAGAAATTATACTGTTTAGCCGGTATTGCACCACCTGACATCCTCTGAGCATTGACATCTCCCAAGGCATTGACATCTCCGGCCCATCTTCTGTTCAGATATCAGCCCCATGCCAACATCTTACATCAAGAAATCATTTTCTAAGCTCTACAGAGATACTCACAGGAGCACCACAGCAAGCGAGTGACCAAAAGTGGCAGGCTAAAACCTGGAACCTCAAGCCATGGCTGATACCAAATAAGGGACTCCCCTCTGGGCAACTTAGAAAGCCCTGAACAGACTGCTCTGTGGCACCACAAGATGCAGAGCCAACCTTAAGAAATCGGGCTACAAAGTGAGCCCACAACACGCGAATGTGGAGAAGAGCAAACCACAAACCACCTATTACAATGCCACATGCACAATGGAAGGCCTCCTTATAGCAACACCAGAGGCACTCCAAGTGGCCAGCTACTGATCAAAGGACATGTAGTATAATGCCAAGTTTCTAAAGTCTTGTGTTTATTTTAAATACATTAGAACTGTACCCTTGGTTAGCTTCTGACAAAATATATATGCTTTTGTGCACACACATGCAAGCCTAGGGTTAAATGTGCCTTGCTTAATTTTTTTAAAAAGTCAGGTACCAAATGTCCTGAAACACTAGACTATTGTGGATAAAGTACAAGCATTTTTCATTATATATATAGGAAGGAGAACAGTGTTAAATAACTATAGATATGGTTACATTTTGAAAGTCTTTTGTAAACTTTTACAAGATGGAAAAGTATTGCCTTTGCTAACTATTACCATTTATGATCCTTAGAAAAAGAAAAAAGGTAAAAAGGGTGGAAGGAAGAAAAAAGCTAAGAAGGAGAAAGATCTGACTCCTGACAGGTAAAAATTCACCTGCTCCTGTGAGATTCACATTGGCACCTCTCTCTCTCTCTTTCTCCCACTCTCTTTCTCTCTGGCTTTGTTCAAATACAAAAGAGAGTCAAAGTTGGTATGCATAAACCTGAACCTGGTAGCTCCAATCTCTTGGCAATTACGTGGAGAATCTAACATTGGTTTCTTTGTAAATGGCAGTCATGTAGAGAGAAATGTAGACATGGAAATGTCAACTACCAATTTGCCGATAGTTCATTTCAGGTTAAAGGTACTATGGGTCTTAATCTTATGTATTTTTATCATATGTGTAATGGTTCTTTGAAGAACTGTCATTAAATTTTATTCTTTGTGGCAGGTGTAGAAACACCTGGTAGTTTCAAATATCTATCAGATTTTTCCATCTGTTTTTAACATCTCTGAAATAGGACACAGCCTGTCCTTCTGTAATAATTGAACAAAGTAGCATTTCTTCTTCTACATGACACGAATAGTGAAATATTAAAACTGGAAAAATGCCTGCTGTTGTTCTGTGGATTTGTTTTACATTGCTCTGACTGTGAGAATATTGGTGTAAATAATACCATCAACTGCTCTGGAGGGAGTATGCCTACCTCAGGGGAGTGTGCTTGCTCCATCCATGTTCAACATCTACACAAATGACCAGCCACTGCCAGAAGGGACAGAGAGTTTCATCTATGCTGATGATCGTGCCATTACTGCTCAAGCAGGGAGCTTTGAGATGGTAGAACAGAAGCTTTCCGAAGCTCTAGGTGCTCTTACTGCCTGTTACAGGGAAAACCAGCTGATCCCAACCCATCTAAAACACAGACATGTGCCTTTCATCTCAAGAACAGAGAAGCATCCCGAGCTCTGAAGATCGCCTGGGAAGGAATCCCACTGGAGCATTGCAGCACACCCAAATAATGAACAAAACAGAAATATTACTAAAAATATTCCCAGGATCACCTGGGAAGGAATCCCACTGGAGCATTGCAACGCACCCAAATACCTGGGAGTCACTCTGGACCGTGCTCTTACCTACAAGAAGCACTGCCTGAACATCAAGCAAAAAGTGGGTGCTAGAAACAATATCATACGAAAGCTGACTGGCACAACCTGGGGATCACAACCAGACACAGTGAAGACATCTGCCCTTGCGCTGTGCTACTCTGCTGCTGAGTATGCATGCCCAGTGTGGAACACATCTCACCACACTAAAACAGTGGATGTGGCTCTTAATGAGACATGCCGCATTATCACGGGGTGTCTGCGCCCTACACCACTGGAGAAATTACACTGTCTAGCCGGTATCGCACCACCTGACATCCGCCGGCAGCCAATAGTGAAAGGACCAAGGCAGAGACATCCCCAGTTCATCCCCTGTTTGGATATCAGCCAGCACGTCAATGACTTAAATCCAGTCATAGTTTTCTAAGATCTACAGAGACACTCGCTGGAACACCTCAGCAAGCGAGAGTCCAAAAGTGGCAGGCTCAAACCCAGAACCAAATGAGCACACAGAGGACTGGGCGACTTGGAAGGCGCTAAACAGACTGTGCTCTGGCACCACAAGATGCAGTGCCAACCTTCAGAAATGGGGCTACAAAGTGGAATCCTCAACATGCGAGTGCGGAGAGGAGCAAACCACTGACCACCTGCTGCAATGTAACCTGAGCCCAACCACATGCACCATGGAAGACCTTCTTGGAGCAACACCAGAAGCACTCCTAGTGGCCAGATACTGGTCAAAGGACATTTAATCAACTACCAAACTCACACATTTTGTATTTTTTCTGTTTGTTTGCTTTGTTCTGTTAGAAATGTAATATAATTGACTGGCTGCCCTGACACGAGAAATAAAATAAAAACTGCTCTGGAGCAACATTATACCAGAGTAGGGGCTTTCAGATCAAAGTATTGGAATTCTTTTACTAGTAGTATTGTCAAAAACCAGAATTCTCAAATGGACCCCCAAATACATGGCTTTAAGGATACCCAGAATACGTTCCCCCACTTCCAGGCAACTTTCCAATGAACTCACTAAAGTTACACAGAGTACATACACATACTGTCCAGGGACTGTCTCACCATGTGGCCCAGGAAAAGACATAACCTCACCATATCCCAAGAGTCATAATGGGTTTAGGAAGAGCCATCTGTGGATTGGAACACTATCAAACCTTATCCCTGGAAACACTTCCCAATTGCTAGATGACTGAGGACTCCAATGAGGCTTTGCCAACATCCCTGGCACCCATTGTGTGGCTAGCAGAAACCCATTGTCTTGTTCTGGATGGACAGGAACAGAGCTCTCAACCTCTTTAGTAGCAACTCTGCCTTCATTCTTTTCCTCTCATACCCCTCCATGGATGGACCAAAAACAGTCACAATCGATCTATGGCAGTTTATTAATTTTCCCTTCAAATCTGCAAGCCAATCAATAGTGACATGGATTGCATGTTTCCACCAACCAACAAGCAGATCCTAGCCAGCTCTAGTTTGAACCAATCCACATCTGGAGCAGCAAAAATCCTTTGTTTCAGACAGCTGTCAAAGTGCTATAAATAAATTTGTATGTTCACATTTGCACTTATGTCAGTCTTTGGAGCACAGACTCTGCTGACATCCACTCAGGCTATGGTGAATAAATGCCTCTGCTCTTTGCCTTCAACCCGTCAGTTTCTCATTTTGGTCCTTGGAGCTTTGACACACCAGGTCCCTGAGATTGTGGAGCTGCAGAGCTGAAATCACTTGATAGTAGGGTAAATGGTTGTTTCCTACCCTTCTCAGCTTCTGTATTTTTAAAGGTAGCTGTAATAGTCAGAAGAGCTATATAGATGTAGCAATCCACTAAATTGGTTCTTTGCTCGTTATTCCAGTTTTATTTTCAAACCTGAATTTCCTTTTTCATTTTTTTTGTGGTGCAGTCAAGTAGTTTGAGGGCCTGCATCCCATTCTAGACTGCACTCACTTCCAAATACAGCACTGGTTCTTAACCTGTAGACCACGGACCACCAGTGGGCCGTGAGGATGAAAATCTGGTCCACGAGCCTCCTTCCTCTTTATTTTTTATTTTTATTTTATTTTTCTACTCCTTTTGCACTACCTGTCACCTCTTTGCTGTTACTGTGGGATTTTCTGCCTTGATATTCTGGGTTATATGGCTTTGTAAAAGGGCCCTGAGCTATCTGAGTCCATACTGCCATATATTTCAGTTCAAAGCAGATAATGTGGGGTTTTATTCAGCTGTGTGGAAGTGGCCTCAGAATATAAAGGCAGAAAATCCCACAATATCTGCTTTGAACTGGAATATATGGCAGTGTGGACTTGGCTAATCCAGTTCAAGGCAGATATTGTGGGATTTTCTGCCTTTATATTCTGGGTTATTTATTTATTTATTTACCTTACTTATATACCGCTGTTCTCAGCCCGAAGGCGACTCAGGGCCCTTCCACACAGCCATATATCCCAATATATTGAATCAATGAACAGCCTTGCTTCAATTTAATGGACTGCCATCAATTATTTATTGCCTATTTTACCCTGGTGTTGATACTTGTTTAGTTTGATTTCTAATTTGATTTGTGGCAGGAATATTGAAACTAGTTTGTATACTATGGTTTTAATTTTTAAACTTTTAATCTTTTGCTATGTTTATTGCTTATTATATTTTGATTGGAGGTGTTTTATCTTAGATTTTAATTGTTATGTTTTGACCTTTATTTTCTTTTGGTGTATATTTGTATTGGCATGGTTTTTGTTGTATCTCTTATACGGCTCTAGTATGTATTGTTGCTGTCTTGTAAGTCACCCCACGTCCCTCCCTAAGTTGTTTTTGTTATTGTTGTTGTTAAAGCCGCTAGGTACAGTTTCTTGGGTCTCATGCTCCGCTTTTTGTATTTTTTTTTCAACCTTAGCCCCCTTCCCTTCTTTTTTTTAACACAAGCGTTAACAAAATCCAGAGATAATGACACAGCCCAAACAAAAAAAATCTTGGTGTCTTCATTTTTCGGCCTGTTCCTGGGGTTATTTGGGGTGCTGATTCAGAAAATTGCATTGGTTAGACCACAAATAACCATTGTCAAGTCTGTATGGTGTGATGAATTTGGATGACCCAAACAATTACCGTCGGGTCAGCCTCACGGTGATACCAGGCAAGATTCTGGAAAAGATTGTTAAGGAAGCGGTCTGCAAACACTTAGAAACAAACTAGTCCAATGTGGGCTAGGCAAAGCTACGGTGAAGTGGATCAGTAATTGGTTAAATGGACGAATCCAGAGGTTGCTCACCAATGCTTCCTCTTCATCCTGGAAAGAAGTGACGAGCGGAGTGCCGCAGGGTTCCGTCCTGGGCCCGGTCTTCTTCAACATCTTTATTAATGACTTAGATGAAGGGCTAGAAGGCAGGATCATCAAGTTTGCAGACACCAAATTGGGAGGGATAGCCAATACTCCAGAGGACAGGAGCAGAATTCAAAACGATCTTGACAGATTAGAGAGATGGGCCAAAACTAACAAAATGAAGTTCAACAGTCACAAATGCAAGATACTCCACTTTGGCAGAAAAAACGAAATGCAAAGATACAGAATGGGGGACAATGCCTGGCTTGAGAAGTGTACATGTGAAAAAGATCTTGGAGTCCTCGTGGACAACAAGATAAACATGAGCCAACAATGTGATGTGGCAGCAAAAAAAGCCAATGGGATTTTGGCCTGCATCAATAGGAGCATAGTGTCTAGATCTAGGGAAATTATGCTACCCCTCTATTCCGCTTTGGTTAGACCACACTTGGAATATTGTGTCCAATTCTGGGCACCACAATTCAAGAGAGATATTGACAAGCTGGAATGTGTCCAGAGGAGGGCGACTAAAATGATCAAGGGTCTGGAGAACAAGCCCTATGAGGAGCGGCTTAAGGAGCTGGGCATGTTTAACCTGAAGAAGAGAAGGCTGAGAGGAGATATGATAGCCATGTATAAATATGTGAGAGGAAGCCACAGGGAGGAGGGAGCAAGCTTGTTTTCTGCTTCCCTGGAGACTAGGACGGGAAACAATGGCTTCAAACTACAAGAAAGGAGATTCCATCTGAACATGAGGAAGAACTTCCTGACTGTGAGAGCTGTTCAGCAGTGGAACTCTCTGCCCTGGAGTGTGGTGGAGGCTCCTTCTTTGGAAGCTTTTAAACAGGCTGGATGGCCATCTGTCAGGGGTGATTTGAATGCAATATTCCTGCTTCTTGGCAGGGGGTTGGACTGGATGGCCCATGAGGTCTCTTCCAACTCTTTGATTCTATGATTCTACCTGTAGGCTAGGAAAAGCCTAGAAAAGTAGGCCCAGGAAGTTCGGCAGCCATTTTGGAAAGGGTGCCGGGGGAATCCATTTTAGTTACTCATTTCCTGAAGGTGGCGTGTTTAGAAAGAGCAGCTTTGGAGGGGAAATGAGGGGAGTTAGTGATTGGCTGAGAGAGAGTGGGCAGAGCCTAACTTAGAAATGAAAAAAATGACTCTAAAGGTGTGTTTTAAAACCCTGTCAGCTCAGATTGAGTGGGTGTCAAAGGAGAAAGAGTTAGGAGTGGAGAAGAGAAGAGAAGAGTGGAAGAGGGCTGAAGTTGGTCAGTTAACTAACAGAGATAGCTAGTGAGAAGATTTTACAGCTATTAGGGAAGATAGCTGGTGGAGGATGTAGAGATAGATCCAGGAAGGGACTATCTGTGGTGGAGCTTAGAATTGCTTGGCAGAGAGGAATCCTGTCAGTAGTTTCTGGAGGGGGAAGAGGAGTGTTTATGTGCAACTAGGTTTGAACTGCTTAAAGAAAGCACGTGCTTTTAAGTCAATACTTCTGAACAGCTACGCTTATTACCTGTTTTGTTCAAGTTCTCTTAAATAAACATCATTGTTTTATTGTTCACAACATCTGCCTCATGTGTGCTTCTGTGGGTGAAGTTTTAAAAGCAGATTCCTGCAGCAATCAAGAGTTTAAAGGTGGCAGCGTATATTTTAAAAGAGTAATCTTTTCAGTGTTACCTCAGAACACAAGCCTGAGTGCTAATCCAGCACACTCTTGCCTAAGATACTTCAAGTAATTCAAGGGCTTAACTTTCCTTTTAAGTTTGGTGAGTGCCAGAGCTCCTTCAAAAGGATTTCCAGCCAGAAGTTTTTGCCAGCTTAGGGAAGCTTTTTGATTTTGGGGTTTTTAAACACTGAAGCCACATCCAATCACAAGTGGTGTACAGCTGGTGGGATTTATATTGCCAAAATAGCTTCTACCTTTTATATTTGGTTTGCAGCAGTTGGGATTATTATCACAAATAAATCTCAATCTTTTATAAATGGCTATTAAGGTTCCTGGGAAAGAGTTAGTTCCTCTTTTCTCTCTGACCACACTGAATTGTAAGGTCGGGAAGGGGCTCATCCTATTTCCCAAAATATTCCAAGTGACTACTTACAATATTATCTTTTATGAAAAGAAGTGTGTAATTAAGAATCCAAGCATTTTCCTGTATATTGCATCCTATTCATATTTACTTAGAAATTAGCCCAACGAGGTTTAATAAGACTTACTCCTAGGTAAGCATTCATAGAATTGCAACATTAATCCTGCATTTTCCAAATAAAAAAGCTATCCCTAGACTGTAGAATGCTCTCCTGGAAAAGAATTGACAGAAAAGCATGCATTCTGAATTTTAAGAATAATTAAAGGCCCATCTGTTTCAGCAGGCCTACCCAGATAATTTTACGCTCTGAATGTTAAATGGACGTTTTATAGGTATAAATGATTTTAATGTGTGTTTTAATCTTATGTTTATATGTTTTAATCTATGTGTTTTAGGTGGTTTTATGTATTTAGTTAGCCATTTTAGTTTAACTCTCTGTTGTGCCCTTCCATGGGATTTGCGGAAATGTGGGTAAGAAATAGAATATGGCCATTGTTGTTATTGCAAATTAAATTCTTAGCTTTGGCCATGGAAAAATGTTACAACTAGAGAGAGCATTTTTTAAAAGAAAAGATCTGTACTTAATTTTTGTATCTTTGTGTAGGACCATTGATTCCCTTTACCAGGAGCTAGTAGAAGAAAGGATATTAATAAAACCTAAGAAAGTGAAACTCAGCGATTATGTGGGTAAAGTATAGACTTTTTATACCAGTACAAATGCATGATATTTCAGAATTACATTAGATGTTTATCACTTACAATGTTAGAAAACTGCCTTAAGCATCAGAGATAAACTAACCAAACAAGACCATTTATTGTAATGCTGATTGTTCTCTTCATTGTCATGTTGATGATTTAAGTGTAGTTTAAAATGTATTTTAATACTGTTTGTTTCATGACACCAAATATTTAATTGATTTTTCCATTTTTATATATGCGTATAATGCATTTGTTCGGTTTTAATTACATTATGCCATGTTTACTGTTAGCTGCCTTGAGTCCCTGTATCAGAATAAAGTCAGGATAAAAATAAAGTAAATAAAATAATCTTAGTAGCACTTCTGACCAAGAATATAATCCAAATATTGTTCTCTACTGTGAACACTGCAGCCTTTATATTTTCTAATTCTAGTACATTGTTTTTACATCTAGCAAGTGCCGATCAAAAAATAAAGGACTGCACCAATAACATTTTTATCCATATTATTTTTTTAAAAAAATCTTGTGAAAATTTGCTGAATACACATTCATCACATCTGTATAGATTAGGAAACACACAGACTACAAAGACTGCTTTAGGAATTTTTCACGATGCTTCCCTGATGGCTATATCTAGCCCCTTTTCATTACAAAAAGTACTGATACCAGGCATGCCCTGGCCAAATCCTTCATGTGCTTTTAAAACTCTGTGTAAATAAAAGTAACTTCAAAGACAGATCTAAATATTAGTAAACATAGACATGTCTCCAAAATCCTAAACATTTGCTTTTTACTTTTCTATCTGGTGGAGTACCATGAAATGGCACATTGCTCCTACTAGAGTTTCTCAAACTGAGGGTCGGGACCCCTGAAGGGCTCATGAGGGGTTTCAGAGGGGTCACCAAAGACCATCAGAAAACACATATTTCTGATGCTTTTACGAATCCCTTTGGAAGAGAAGGCTGAAGATCTCTCTGCCTATCCTTCTCCTTTTTTGGAAACAGAAAGCGAATCCTCCCACCAAAAGCCCTCCCCCTGCTGTGATTGGCCAGCCTCTCAGCTGGCCTCTCAGCCAAGGGGAGGGCTGTTTCTGAGATTCCAAGTGGGGAGGGAAGAGCATGCATGCTGGACACATGGCAGTATGGTTTGCATGTGTGGGGGCGAGGGAGTGCGCAAGGCTGGAGGGAGGCTCCCGGGAGTAAATCTCTTCAAGGCAGGAGGGAAAGCACATGTGCGACATGGGGCTGAGAGTGGCCCAGCAGCGTCAGGAGGAGGAGGAGTAACAGCAGAAGCAGCTTAGGTAATTTGTAATGCTATTTATTAGAAAAAAATCACTCTTTCCTTTTATTTATTATTAATGCTCCCATGAGAAAATGTGGGTGAACTACAACTCCCAAAATCATGGGTCAGTCCTCCCCAAATCCCACCAGTATTTACAGTTTGCCACGTTCGATCTGTGTGCCAGGTTTGGTCCAGATCTATCAGTTGGGTGCACATTGCTCTGTCAATGTGAGTAAACTATAACTCCCAAACTCTGAGGTCAGTGCCCTCAAAACCCCACCAGTATTCAAAGTTTGAAATGTTGGGTATGTGTGGCAAGTTTACTAATTCCATCACCAGTTTGGTACAGAGTGCTCTCTGAGTGTTGGTTAACTACAACTCCCAGAATTCGAAAACAACCCCCCTCCCCCACCCCACAACTATTCAATGTCATGCCAAGTTTGGTGCAGATCCATTGTGGGCTGGGTTCGGAGTGATTGTAGACTAACTATAAATCCCAGCAACTACCAAATGTCAAAATCAACCCCACCCCCCAACCCCACCAGTATTCAAATTTCACCATATCGGATATTTGTGCAAAATTTGGTCCAGATCCATAGTCGTTTGGGTTCACAGTGCTCTCTGGATGTAGATGAACTATGTCTCCCCTAAATCACTGTAAATTCATCCCAGATCCCTCCAGTGTTTTCTTGTTGGTCATGGGGGTTCTGTGTGAGAAGTTTGTGCCAATTCTATCGTTGGTGGGGTTCAGATTGCTTTCTGATTGTAGATAAATCCCAGCAACTACAACTCCCAAATGTCAAGGTCTATTTTCCCCCAAACCACACCAGTGCTCACATTTGAGCATATTGAGTATTCATGCCAAGTTTGGTCCTGATCCATCATTGTTTGAGTCCACAGTGCTCTCTGGATGTAGGTGAACTACAACTCCAAAACTCAAGGTCAATACTCACCAAACCCTTCCAGTATTTTCTGTTGGTTATGGGAGATCTGTGTGCCAAGATTGATTCAATTCCATCATTGGTGGAGTCCAGAATGCTCTTTGATAGGTGAAGTATAAATTCCAGCAATGACAACTCCCAAATGACAAAATCATTTCAAAAACCCAGGTCAGGCTGGACTTCTATCCCCACACTGGCAAAAAACCTCAAGCTTTCCTGACCATCCGGCAGGGCACTCAGACACCAACACCTCCCTCCCCTGAAAAGCCTTAAAAAGTAAAAATTACTTACCTGGCTGCCATTACCCTGATTGCAGCCTTCTTCTGGTGCGTAGAAATGATGCACCAGGAGAGGGGGCTGGCAGCAGGGTAATGGCGACTGGGTAATTATTTTTTTTTACTTTTAGGGTTTTTAAGGGGGTTGGGGAAGGGGTGGAGGGTGTCTTGGGTTTTCATGGCTCCATGGACCCAGAAATTCGGAGACAGCTGTGTGGATTGGGCCCACAGCTGGAAAGAACCGGATCTTCTGAAAGACCTGGATCTTTCCAGGTGTCAAATTAATTCAGCATAAAGCAGGGTTTTCCTGCATGAATTCATTTTTACCTAAAGCATCATTTGGATGCCTCAGGAAAAAACACAAGAGCTCGTGCATTTTGCTCAAGTTGTCTCCACTCTGCTCTAAAACACATGTGTCAAGCCCCATGGAGTGAATCCAGCCCATGATGTCATTTTATGTGGCCCTCCAGATGCTGGACTATTATTATTATTATTTTATTTACTTCACTTGTATACCGCTCTTCTCAGCCATAGGCGACTCAGAGCGGTTAACAACCAGTATCAACAATACAGTACAAAATCATTAATAATTTAAAACAGTAATATCCATTAATTAACATCAGAACATCAATACAACAATACAGGAAAATAACAATCCATCACGTCTCATCAATAGAATCAGCATCCAATCTCGTTGTCCATTAATCCATATTCCAATAATCAATCAATTGTACTGCTTAGTTGAAAGCCTGTTCGAAGAGCCAGGTCTTCACTCTCTTCCTGAATGCCAATAAGGAGGGAGCCGATCTAATGTCGTAGGAAGGGCGTTCCACAGCCAGGGGGCCACTACTGAGAAGGCCCTGTGTCTCATCCCCGCCAGGCGTGCTTGTGAAGCCGGCGGGACCGAGAGCAGGGCCTCCCCAGACGATCTTAACGTCCTAACAGTAGACTATGACTACTGTAATCCTCATCATTACATATCAAAGACTAGAACTGAGGAGAGTTGTGATACAGTAATATCTGGAAGGTTGCAGATTATTTTAATCAGGAGAGTAGGGTTTGAATTTATATCCAAGGCTTGTGGATAGGATGTCTGACATTAAAATGTTATTTAACTTTTCCCCAGCCTCAGAGCCACAAGTGCTGTTAGTTTGCAATTCTCAGTCCTTATGATGGATAATAAAAAGGGATGGGAATTGTTTTTCAATAACATCTGGGGACCCAAATTGGGTAAAAACTAAAGAGCAAAGACTTCTATGTAAAAGAACTATAGTTGGATCTCAATATCCACAGTTTCTCTGTCCATGGATTCAATGGACTTCGAAGGCAACTATAAGAGTGATGTGGCCCTCAAAAAAAATGAGCTTAACACCCCTGCTCTAAAAGAAACGCTTGTGTATTTGAGAAAGGGAAGAAGAAGTGAAACTGAACTGAGCCAAAGAGTAGGAACTGGTCCGCAGCATTTGTCTAAACATAAGAAGACTGATACCTCTTCCACACAACTGAATAAAATCCCACATTATCTGCTTTGAACTGGAATATATGACAGTGTGGACTCAGATATCCCAGTTTAAAGCAGATATTGTGGGATAATATGCCTGGATATTCTGGGGTATAGGGCTGTGTGGAAGGACCATGAGAGAATGAGCTGTGAGAGACAGCCTCTACAATGCTCCCCAGCATCAGGCATTCAACGTCACATAACCTCCAGACATAGTGATTCTGTTTAGCCATCACTGATAACGAACAAGCATGCATCATCCATAGTTCTACTTTACTTAGGCGATCCCTCGCTTTCCGCTATTCCTGTGGGTCGTATGTGGCTGTGGAGCCCTATTCATGCTCTGCATCTTCTTCCGCAGTGAGGGCATTGGTTTCCAGGTGGAAGGGCGGTCTCGGTCGGGGTTGGCTTGACACGCCTTCCTCTTGGCATGCTTCTCCCTTTCGCCCTCCATTCGTGCCTCTTCAAATTCTGCAGCACTGCTGGTCACAGCTGACCTCCAGCTGGAGTGCTCAAGGGCCAGGGCTTCCCAGTTCTCAGTGTCTATGCCAAAGTTTTTAAGGTTGGCTTTGAGCCCATCTTTAAATCTCTTTTCCTGTCCTCCAACATTCCATTTTCCATTCTTGAGTTCGGAGTAGAGCAACTGCTTTGGGAGACGGTGGTCGGGCATCCGGACAACGTGGCCGGCGCAGCGGAGTTGATGTTGGAGGACCATCGCTTCAATGCTGGTGGTCTTTGCTTCTTCCAGCACACTGACGTTTGTCCGCTTGTCTTCCCAAGAGATTTGCAGGATTTTCCGGAGGCAGCGCTGATGGAATCGTTCCAGGAGTTGCATGTGACGTCTGTAGACAGTCCATGTTTCGCAGGCATAGAGCAGGGTTGGGAGGACAATAGCTCTATAAACAAGCACCTTGGTATCCCTACGGATGTCCCATAGTTCTATATATGTGTAGACCCATATAATGCAGTGTACAACCATATAATGCAGTTCAATGCAGATAAACTGCATTATATGAGTCTACACTGACCATGTAAGGCAGTTTCACAATTGTTCAAACTGCATTATATGACAGCATCGATGGGGCCCATGAGAAACAGCCAGAATCCACCATGCAGGGAAAGGCTTATAGTATTTTACTGCATGGTGCCTGGAGCTAGTGGAAATTCCAAAGACTAGTGGAATTTGCTGATTATTTAGGTAAGGAATCATCCCTTAGTTAATCTGCATTCTTTGATCTTTGCATGGATTGATCCTTTGTTAAGATGTATCCTTTTTCCTCCTAAAATTATAATAATGCATTATCACATCTTAAACTTACATTTCTTCCCCATAGGTGAGTACAGCTATCTGGGGACTACACTTCGACAGGTGAACGTAGAGCCAATGCCCTCTCTCACAGATGTTAAACAGCTCATAGCGCTGTATGGAATATTGCCCCTAGGTAAGATCGCACAAGAAGCTGCCAGAGGGCAGGGTACCTCACCATCTTTCTTACCTGTGGCAATGACGGATTTGATTTGGGTTGAAAGCATTCTGAAGATTTCTTTTTCTGATTAAGTATTCTGAGCTGAAAAGGCTTTAATAGCAGACTTAAAAGAGGAAATTGTGTACTATTATGTTTAATAGCACACAAATTTCTTTGCCAGTTTTGTTTGCATGTTAACTGTTTGGTAACTGCAGCACATAAAACAGAGCCACTGGGAGAGCGTAATAGAAAATACAAGCTCCAGTGATTTAATTTAATCAAATTTGGGAGAAAGGCAAAGGCTGCAATTTACCTTTTTACAAGCCCACTAATGTGTCTTGCTATTAAACAATGGAAGCACTTATGGAATTAGTCAGAGCTCATTTCATATATCAGAGAGAGTGCTTTTAATTGTCCTTGTATGTCATTACATGCAAATTATATAATGAGATACACCTAGAATAGAAAGGCTACATGGTTCAAGTACACTATCATTTTCTATATATTATATAAACACTTAAGAGTCAAATAATCTCAAGAGCCATCTAGTGAGCATTCTGTTTTCCAATGGAATTGCCTCCTCAACTGTATATTTGTTGCTCTGAAAGCTTTGAGACTGTGTCCAGATCAAGAAACGTTTTTAGTTTAAATGCCTGTGCTTGATTGTTTACACCGGCAACATTTTGATCAATTAGTTGATAAAATTATAAAATTTCACATCTTTATTCAAAATGTAAGTACCTTAATGAGATATTTGATGTTTTGATATACCTACAAACAACTTCAATAAATGTAAGCAAGTTTGCTAAATTAATGTAAAATTAACATTTTTCAATAATAGACATGAATTAACATCTCATAAGAGCCCCTGGTGGCGCAGTGGATTAAAGCACTGAGCTGCTGAGCTTGTTGATCGAAAGGTCGCAGGTTCAATTCCGGGGAGCGGCATGAGCTTCCACTGTCAGCCCTAGCTTCTGCCAACCTAGCAGTTCTAAAACATGCAAATGTGAGTAGATCAATAGGTACGGCTCCGGCGGGAAGGTAACGGCGCTCCATGCAGTCATGCCGGTCACATGACCTTGGAGGTGTCTACGGACAACGCTGGCTCTTTGGCTTAGAAATGGAGGTGAGCACCACATCCCAGAGTCAGACATGACTGGACTTAATGTCAGGGGACTACCTCTACCTCTCTAACATCTCATGGGTTCTTCAAAATTGCTAACAAAGTATCCTTTACAACAATCTTTTTTATTCAATAAAAAGACAAAATAGAACACAGAAATTATATGTAAAACTACCAAAATCTGCATCTGTTCAATGTCCACTGCTACTGAACTACAGTTATCTTCTGACCTTCAAATATTGCCTCCTCCATGGAGTGTAGTTTTCTAACAATGCTAATTGTAAATCTTCTAATAATAATATATAGATCATATTTTGGGGAAAAACTCTCCAACCCTACCTCATGACAATATCATACAAGTTGTATTATCAACATTCTTAACAGTGTATTATAAGAAAGAAGGGGGGGGGGGAATTACTTCTATTAAGCAGCTACCAATTTTGTTGTCCAACATTATTTTAACATTGTCCTTTCTATCAGTGATTTTTAGTCCCTAAACATTGTTACAAGCCGATCTATTGCACACAGAGATTTCAGTTCTTTTGAAAAACCTTGTGTTGATTTATCTTTCAGAAACAGATGAATTTATCCTGTTCCTTCTGATTCCTCTTCTTCTAGATCATGTTTGAGATTATTACAGAATTCTTTTGCTTCTTGCAGTGTTGTAATCTATAGTGTTTTCTGTTGCGTGTGCAAGTGCAATACACCTCCCACAGCCAGCCCAAGAAGTACGCTCACACATGATGTTGGGTTGAACAATGGCCACAACTCATTTATTGATAACAGGAACATGGGTTGGCAGCCAAGCATGGGTCTTGAATCATGATCAGGCAGCCCACTGCTGTCCGATACCGCAAAAGCCAGGGTGCCGCCGGCACAATACCGGGCAAACGCAACTCGGCACCCCTGGGACCACCAGGCGTTCCCCCTTTCCGCTAGGGGGAGGTACCAAACCAGATCCAGGGCCCATGCCCCATGCCAACAAGGAGTTGTGACAAGAAGCATAAAACAAACAAGTAACTGATAACAGGTAACCAGGACAAGGTAAACAACAACAAAAGTTAAGCACCGATGAAAACATAAAGCGCATGGAGGGTGAGTGGGATGGATCAGCTGTTGCAGGCACAGTGCCTGCTGGGGAGCCTGGGGCAGCCTTATATAGGCTCCCCATGAAGAGGAAGAGGCCAATTGACCCGCCGGCGGGAAACCCGCCATCTGAGGGGGCTTCTGGGAGGAAGAAGCCCCTCCCCCTGTGGCAAGAATGGCAGTGGGGGACGCCTTGCACCGCAACTTCCTTGGCCTGATAAGTTGGGCCATGCCTTTTATTGAAATTAAAGGATTTAATTTCTTTAAACAGTATTCTAACTTTATTGCTATTCTAAAGCTTTTGGATAGCTAATTGCATCATTTTTCTGACATTAATGGCTAAATCTTAATAAATGCTTATTGGTGAGTTTAATTAGACTTATTCCTAATAAACATGCATAGCTTGGAGCCATAGTACTTCTCTTTTGATATATGGGCTGGATTTGCACAGCTTTGAGTTAGTCACCTTTCATGGAAGAACAAGGTAGTTTATGTTTCAAATTCAGTTGTAGTCAACATGTAACTAGCAGGAGCTCCTTGTGCCAGCAGGACTGAAGACCAACAGGTCGGAGGTTTGAATCTGGGGAGAGCGCAGATGAGCTCTCTGTTAGCTCCAGCTCCCCATGCAGGGACATGAGAGAAGCCTTCCCCAAGGATGGTAAAACATCAAAACATCCAAGCGTCTCCTGGGGAACATCCTTGTAGACGGCCAGTTCTCTCACACCAGAAGCAACTTGCAGTTTCCCAAGTCACTCCTGACACACACACACAAATAAAAAACATGTAACTGAGAACTGTAATTTAAATTATCTCCCGTTTCAAACCTCGGCCATGATCCATTCATATATGCTTATTTTTAAAGCAGTGAGTACTTACTTATAAAAACAAATAAGGTATTTTGAAACTCACATTTCACAGCATGCTCTCTTTCCTTCTCACCACAAGCGGGGATTTGCCTACAGCTTTCCAGAGCAGAGCCACTGTAACAGCAGAAGACCTATGTAAACTATGGCCAGGAGAGGGAAAACTCAACTGGAACCTAAAGTAATAACAGGCACTTTCCACATTGCCCTATACCCCAGGATCTGATCCCAGATTGTCTGATTTAAACTGGATTATATGAGTTCCCACTGCAATATAATCTGAAATAAGCAGATAATCTGGGATCAAATACTGGGATATCAGGCAGTGTAGAAGGGGTTTACATTGTCGTATAATCCAGTTCAAAGCAGATAATTTGGAACTGAATAAGATATTGTTGTACAATGGTGTAACAATTGTATCTGGCAAAAAACCGATTGGAACTAAATTGAGTAAATACGTATGGCATAATAGCTCTGTAGATTTGCAGGTTTATGTCCATTTATATATGTGCTAAGTATTCTTCCGGTGATGTGTATTGTTTTAAGTACTTGTTTTAAGAACAAAAGGGTTCTCTTCTTTCACTTGGCACGTACAGTAAAAAAATGTACAGGAATCCCTCAACAGTCTGCTGCAGAAGGAGATTGGGGGTGGGGACTCGGGACAGGGCCTTTTCTGTGGTGGCCCCCTGACTCTGGAACACCCTCCCAAAAGATCTTAGACAGGCCCCTACATTGGCAGTCTTCAGAAAGAACTTGAAGACCTAGCTGTTCCAATGTGCCTTCTCAGATTAGGAATCTCCAATACCAAGTCCTAGAAGCACTTTAGTAGAACTAAGACTGCTGCACACCGCACACTGCACTTACTTTATAATCCTACATACCTCCTGCCACATCAGCACTTTTAATCTTGTACCCATTCTCTGGCCTGGCCCAGTTTTATATTGTCTTGATGTATTGTTTATTGTTTGTTGTTTATACTGCTTAACTGTTTTTAATTTGCTTTAGGTATTGTATTGTTGTATTGTGTTTTGAGGCCTTGGCCTATGTAAGGCACATCGAGTCCTTCGGGAGATGCTAGCGGGGTACAAATAAAATAATAATAATAATAATAATAATAATAATAATAATAATAATTGAAGAAAAGTCCCAAAGGCCACTGAAAGTTCGCTTAGTAGTGTTTCAAATGCTAGCTACTTTCTACATCAAATATGTGCAAATCTTTCGGAACTGCTTTGAATTTGATTATCTGAGTCTGCACTGCCAGATAATCCAGTTCAAAACAGGTAATCTGGATTTTATACAGCCGTATAGAAGGGGCCTTAGTCTCAAGCCAGCTCGAAACTGCAACGTATGATCAGTGTAGGTGGTCCCCAAGTCTATTCTGAGAATAAGAGTTAGAATCAGGGAATAGCTGAATGCCTCCATATACCAGAGGAAAAGTTAAAGTACTGAATGCCCCTTCAATTACAAATACAATGTTCTTCTATATTGGGAGAACTCATTTCTCAGCTTTCTAAATTTTCTGTATTTTAGACTTTAGTCTAGTTAAAATCATTTAGATTTTACACTTTTAAAGAAAGAGTCCAGGTTTGATTTCCTAACCTAGAAGTGATCTTAAGATGTCCTCAGTCCCACTGATTTCTTGCTTTATTAGTATTTATGAACAATTAAAATAAAACAGTCCAAATTGTATTTCCATAGGTTCTCAATCTGTACATGAGAAAGCTCCTCTAGTGAAGACTTTGCTCTTGGCTGGACCAGTCGGAGTGGGGAAAAAGATGCTTATCCATGCACTGTGCACTGAAACAGGAGCCAACCTTTTCAATTTATCTGCATCTAATATTGCAGGGAAATACCCTGGCAAGGCTGGGCTGCAGTTGATGCTTCATATGGTTTTTAAGGTAAGACATGGTTTTTCCCTTGTAAAAATACAGAAGCCTATATTTTAGTTACATATTAAGCCCTAAATCTAATTGCTAGTCCATAGTAAACCCACTGAATTGAGGGTATACCAACACTGATAAAAATTTGATTGATTAGTAATTTTTTTACTCTAGATGGGCTTAACAATTTGATGCCATCCTGTATTCAAAATTACTTTGATCTTGTAATAATGCATAAAAATCAAATCATAGTATTAATAGTCATGAAAAATAGATTGTTTTTCTCAAAGTTATTGCATTTTAAGTGACTTCCAGGTTGACTCTGTTGACCGAATCCTAGGATTTTCTTGGCAAGATAATTACATGCCTCTCCTCATGGCTCGAGGTGGGTTACCGCATAATTAAAACACATAAACATTGTAAACATTCTCTAAATTTACATATTTCTATAAAATATGCTTATTAAAATGTATTTTTATAAAATACATATTAAAATGTAGTTCTATAAAATACATATTAAAATACACAGAACAGAGATTAAACACAAGACACAAGTTTAAAATTTAAACTTAAAACTGATAGATGCATTCAGAGGCAGTTGGTCATTACCATCCTCTTAGGCTAAGAGAGTGTCACTTATCCAAGGTCACCCAAGTAGGCTTCAGTGACTGATCAAGGACCTCCCACCATCCTGGTCTAATATTGCATTTGATGTCTATCACATACCTACATGCTTTTTTCATCTTTGTTGTAATTCTAAACACATATGTTTCCATTATTTTCATACACCTTTTAGGCAGCATTCCTATTCATACTTACACAGGAAGTATGGAACTCAGCTGGACTTATTTCTAAATAGACATGAATAAGTCTGAACTGTTGAAAGGTCAGCAATTTGTGAGTCCCACAGTTAAAATTGCAGCCTTAGTCACCGTAGCTAATAGTGAGAGAATCTGACAGTTTTAGTCCAAAATACCTGGAGGACCACATGTTGCCCATCCCTCTTTTTTAAAAAGAGAACTTTTAAGAAAGGAATAAAAGTGAGACATTTGTACTATTTTACACTAGAATTTGTTCTCCAAAAGCATCAGGTCTCAGCAGGGTCCTAGCTCTCTCTAAGACAGGCCCCTTCAACCTGTGGCCTTCCAGATTTTATGCTTCACAACTCACAGAAGCCCTAGTCAGCTTGTTCAAAGATCAGAAATTTTGGGAGCTAAAATCCAAAACACCTGGAGGGCAGCAGGTTGAAGCAGCCCACTCTAAAGTGATCCAACTGTTCTGTGTCAGTTGATGGGATGGGCTTATATACAGTCATCAAATGCTCCCTTCCTATGTTGTTGTTGTTCATTCGTTCAGTCGTCTCCGACTCTTCATGACCTTATGGACCAGCCCACGCCAGAGCTCCCTGTCGGCCGTCACCACCCCCAGCTCCTTCAAGGTCAGTCCAGTCACTTCAAGGATGCCATCCATCCATCTTGCCCTTGGTCGGCCCCTCTTCCTTTTCCTTCCACTTTCCCCAGCATAATTGTCTTCTCTAGGCTTTGCTGTCTCTCATGATGTGGCCAAAGTACTTCAACTTTGTCTCTAGTATCCTTCCCTCCAATGAGCAGTCGGGCTTTATTTCCTGGAGGATGGACTGGTTGGATCTTCTCGCAGTCCAAGGCACTCTCAGATCTTTCCTCCAACACCACAGTTCAAAAGCATCTATCTTCCTTCCCTCAGCCTTCCCTAAGGTCCAGCTCTCACATCCGTAGGTTACTACAGGGAATACCATGGCTTTGACTAGGCGGATCTTTGTTGCCAGTCTGATGTCTCTACTCTTTACTATTTTATCGAGACTGGACATTGCTCTCCTCCCAAGAAGTAAGCGTCTTCTGATTTCCTGGCCACAGTCTGCATCTGCAGTAATCTTTGCGCCTAGAAATACAAAGTCTGTCACGGCCTCCACATTTTCTCCCTCTATTTTCCAGTTGTCAATCATTCTTGTTGCCATAATCTTGGTTTTTTTGATGTTTAGCTGCAACACGGCTTTTGCGCTTTCTTCTTTCACCTTGATTAGAAGGCTCCTCAGCTCCTCCTCACTTTCGGCCATCAGAGTGGTGTCATCTGCATATCTGAGGTTGCTAATGTTAAAGTTTGTTAATGTTCCCTTCCTATAATATGTTAAAAACAACAGCCCGTGAAGCTCTAACCTAGTCTTACCCCTGATGTCTTCATTTCTATGTGTGGGTTTCTCTGTGTGTGTGTGTGTGTGTGTTTTTTTACCTAATTAGAGAAGTGTTTAGTTATATATCAACTCTCCCATCACCAACTGTAGTCTGCAATAGTCCACTTAGACCACTTTAGTGAGAACTAGCTATAAGTACAGGCAATCCCCGAGTTACAAACATCTGACTTACAAATGACTCATAGTTAAGAACAGGGTGAGACAACAAGAATTGAGAGAAATCTATCCCTAGGAAGGAAATTGATTCCTGAAAGAGTTTTCACAAGTAAAAGGTGTCTCCACTGAAGCTTTATCACCAATCCTTGTTTCCACAAGTCATTTTTTTTCAAAATCCAATTATTTTAGAGACAGAAAGTGAAGTAAAATCTTCTGAACAGGGGTACAGACAGCAAAACAAACACCACGGGATGTTAACCCTTCCCCTATGCTATCCAGAGCTTTTGTATATATTTATTTATTAACATATTTCTGGTTTGATCTCCACTTAAATAATGTACCTGTTCTGACTTATATACAAATTCAACTTATGAACAAACCTAACTTGGGGACTGCCTGTATCGGACACATACTGTATTTCATTTGAATATTTTTTGATGTTCTGTGTTTAGCCAATGGAAATAATTGTACATCTCAAAATACCAATTATCCCCATACTGGCAGTATTTGTAAGGCAAGTATAGGTTTGAGACATGATAAAAACTATGGTATTTCTCACACTTAATGAAATACATAACATTTCCTGAACTGTGCGAATTATCATGTGTTGTTTTATAATTCACAGTGGTAATGAAGTAACTTAGTTCTGCTTCAAGTTATCAATTGTTTGTACAAATAAAGAGATTAGCCTTAAATTGATCCCCAGGGAGTAAAGATTGACCATTAGGCAGCTTTCTATTCTTAAATGAGCAGTTGGCTAATGCTAATTATTACATCAAAGATACCTAAGTAAGAAAGCAGTCGTGGGACTAATATGCTTCACAGTTAAACTATCCTGCTTGTTTTTAAATGGTTCTAAAAGTTACAATTTTGGTCACAAAGCAAACAGCAAAACAGATATTATACATACCATACCTCCTGCCTTCCCCAAATAATCATGGGCATTTAATAATTTTTTTAAAGAAAGAAATAAGGAATTTAAGTCTCATTAACAGCATCAAGAGGGTTTGCAGTTCATGAACTTCAGTTAGATTGCATCCCAGCAATTAAATTCATGCTTCTTTAATCAGAGATTGTTCTCACAAGATGCCTATACACTGTGGAATCAATGCAGTTTGATACCACTTTAACTACCATGCATCAATGCTGTGGAATCGTGACAGTTGTAGTTCAGCCTTTTTTAGCCTTCTCTGTCAAACTGTGCTGGTGCTCCATCAAACTTCAGCTCCCAGAATTCCATAGCATTGTGCCATAGAAGTTAAAAGGGTGTCAAATTGCATTAATTGTAAGTGTATATTATCTAATCCTTTATACTAGATTAATTCTAGCCATTGGCAATACTTTCCTGAGTTACCATTTTTATAAACCATTACTTTAGAATTGCAGGTTGTGTGCAGCAATTGTGCTCTGAGTGAACATTGTTTCTAAGAAAGCATACACAATGATACCTTTACTTAAGAGCTTAATTCATTCTGTGACTGAGCTCTTAACTCAAAACACTCTTATCCCAGTTAATTTTCTCATTTAAATGCTATTAATCCATTCCGTACCCTCCTTATTTTTTGTTACATGTTTTAAAATAACAAAATGTACTTTATAAATAACAAATAATGTATAAAACATAATGATTAATAATAATAATAATAATAATAATGATAATAATAATCTTTATTTATACCCCGCCACCATTTCCCCAGTGGGGACTCGGAGTGACTTACATGAGACCAAGCCCGAACAACAAATTACAATAAAAATAAAACCAAAACACAACCGAAAACACAAACAATAAACAGCAACATCATAATAAAATAAAACATGTAAATACATAACAATATAAAGTTACAATAGATGCAATCACAATGACAATGGGTGGGCTGCATGTAATGATTAAAAGAGAGATTAATTAAAACTAATTTAAAACTTGGGCGAGATAAAAAGAGACAGATTATTTGCGGAGGAGAGCTCATTATAGCAGGGGTTGTGGAATCAAACTTTCCCACAGAGGAGGGGGCGACATATACTCCAATGACAGAACGTTGAGGCTAAGCAGTAGTGTGGGATTGTATTTATTTATTTTATTTTATTTTATTTATTTAAAACTTTTATACCCTGGTCTTCTCAACCTCTATAGAGGGACTCAGGCCGGCTTACAGCATAAATTAATACACAAATACAATTAAAAACATAATCACATCAAAAAGTTAAATACAACAAAATAAATACACAAACCAAGTCGCCAAGATAAAATCACGTTCATCTCAATCCGCCAGTGTGGTTAGTAGTTGTTAGCTAATTGCTGAACTTCCCAATCATTCTGAGAATGCTATGTCCCAAAGCCAGGATTTCACTAGCTTTCTGAAGGTCAGGAGGGAAGGGGCAGATCTAATCTCCATCGGGAGAGAGTGCCACAACCGAGGGGCCACCACCGAAAAGGCCCTGTCTCTCGTCCCCACCAGACGCGTTTGCGAAAGTGGTGGGACCGAGAGCAGGGACCCTCCAGAAGATCTTAACAACCTTGATGCTTCATAGGTGAGAATCCGTTCGGACAGGTAAACTGGGCTGGAACCGTTTAGGGTTTGGTAGGTCAACACCAGCACTTTGAATTGTGCTTGGAAGCTAATTGGCAGCCAGTGGA